TTTAAGGATAATTTGTGATCGAAATATCAAAACACAAGCCTTATAAGTGATTTAACAACAAAAAATGGTAGTAAAGCGTTGTTTATTCTGAGGAATCGCGCGCACTCTTTTGTGGCCGAGAACTGAACCCGCTGGCCGATAACTGGGCCCACGAACGAAGCCTCCATTTTCGTTATTACTCGGGAGAAAACAGCGTTGAGCATTCGATAGCTCTACATGTGTAAACTGAATGCTGAGGCTAGTTGTGCGTGAAATTTCAAGTCCTTACGGCTATTCCAAGGTGAGAAATACAAGTTTACGTTTTTTGTGGCCGAGAACTGGGCCCCATACTGTACTTCTCCGTGCTACCTTCCACGATTCCATGACCGTTAGCACGACATGGATTCACGGACGCAACAACAAAAAATTTAAATGGTGTCTCTGACCAAGCCAGAATTAAAAACTCACAGAAACTATTGTTACCATTAACTAACCGTACGGCATCAACAGAGTTACAGGTTAACGAGCTCAGCGGGGGAATTATCGGGATTTTCCTGCAAGAGTTCACTAACAATAAACGACAAATTTCAATACCGCACTCGGCAAAGCCTCGTGCGGTATTGAAAAGTTCGAGTTCATTGTTAGTGAACGAGTACAGGTAAATCCCGAAAATTCACGAGCAATGAGTGCGACAACATTTTTATTATTCAAACTGAATACACTGCACAAAGAAACACTGCATTGAAACCACTGTATTTGAGTCAGCCGAAGCCATGGTGTAACGAAAGTGGTGTGTTGAATTTAGACCACGGCTATTACACCACGATAATGACGTCAAGGTGGTTGTTTCGTCACAACCCAGTATCACGAGGTAGAAATCAGCCAATCAGAAAATCAGAATTCGTACAGTGTAAGAAAGTTGAATAATAATAAAGATTAACCAACTAACATGCAAGAAAAAGCTGATGATAAATAGGCCCTCAAAGAAGCATCTTTGGAAAAGCTGTTGCCATCTAAGCCAAAACAGATTACAGTAAAGGGTTGACACTTTTCTCAATTTAACCGTCACAGGTTTTTTTTTGTTGTTGTTTTTTTGTCTTTTCTTTCAGTTCTGTTTTGTCAGCTAATAAGATGACCATGTATATATTGAGTAACACATTTCCATTGCGTGTTTTAAATATTCGTTTACCAAAAAAAGTCACATGCTTTAAACTAACGTTTACGCATTACTTATAACAATTTAAAGTGTCCTAACACGCTGGTGGTCGCTATATTAAAAGGTAGGGGACCGCTTTACCCTTTACCGAACTAAGTGAAATGGACATTAACCTTGGCAGTTCTTTTTGTCTCCTGCAAGGAAGTATCCTGGTCTACAAACGCAGTAGAATGACTGGTACGTGTTGACGCATGTGTGTTCGCATCCACCATTTGATGTTGCACATTCATCGATATCTAGAAATGAAAAAGTGACCCATTTGACTATTAATGTGTGTCACCTAACATTGCAGTTGATAACATGATTATTTCGACTCACTGAGTTTCCCAGTTTTCATTCGGATCACTGTGTATGAAAAGAACCGATTAATCCACTCCGTGCAAAGATTCGTCAGTTCCTTTGATACACCGTGATCCGATTGATCTGAGATCTATGATCTTGATTAGGATCATCCCAACGGAGCTCACCCTTTGATTTCTATCAGACAACTGACAATGCCTTAGAACTATCGTGAAGTAATAGAGTAAAATGAGGCAAATAATAATTAGCGAACTGTCATTTCCGAAACCACTTCTCCTAATAGTTAGAAATTTCTTCTTTTTTTCAGTAAGTATTTCTAACAACACAATTGGTCTGTTCGAATAGACCAGCAACAGTATTTGAAAATGCTAAATCCGACTGCATTGATGGCGACGAGTCTTGGCTTCACCTCTGCAACTTCTTTTCCCAGAATCCAACTCGAGACCACTCGGACAGGAACAAGAGAATGAACCAGCAGAGTTGTGGCACGAGTGGGAACAGCCACCGTTAGAAATTGAACACTCGTTGATATCTGAAAGAAATCAAATCATAAATTTGGAAAATTAAATTCTCAAGCATCAGTTGTAGCCTCAAACTCTAACAATGCCTTTTCTTTAAACACTGACACAACGCAAATTACGAGTGGTTTCCTATTTGCAAAACAATTCTGGATATCTCAGTTGAGAATAGTCCTGTGACTGCGGAACGAAGGGCCGAAGGGATTAGAACTGGTGCACACTCTACGAAAAAGTAAATGGAACACAAATTTCTATGCCGATGAATGAAAGTTTCTCCCGGTTTCTTCCGAAAATTTCCTAGTGGACAAAACCAAAAACTAGTATTCCATTTGCAACCCAACGGGTCACTCTATTTCCAGGATTTTTTCCTAAAAGAAAAACAACCACAATCTCGTCTGAGACCCTCGCACCTTCTTCTTTATTTCTCTAATCTCTGGTGAACAAGATTGTGATGATTTTAAGACAAAAGACGACAAAAATGTTATGTTTTGAAGAAATATATTTACAGCGGCGTCGGTAATTTTCAGTCAGTATACTCAACTTAAAGCTGAATTTGAGTTTGTTAACCTTATATAATAGAATAACATATACACTCCTGGAAATGTACAGCATTAAAAGCTGAAGAGAGAGTAGCTTTCTTTCTATGTAGACAAGGTTGTGTTGAAAGTTAGATGCTTGTCGGGCCGTGCATATAAAACAAATGTCAAAGAAATTAACAATCGCGTCGTTGAAGATCCCATTTGGGAGGACACGGACTAGTTCATGATTTGCAAATGTTGGAGAATCTAAGCTCGGGACTACCGAGCTTAAATTCATACCAGGTAGTAGTAAGAAGGAATCGATTTTAACCAAGGACTCCCGGATTACAAGTCTGGCGCTAGCTCCCTAACCACGCAATCTCCTTCCCATGTAACAGCAGTAATTGAATCGTATTCCTCAATTTATGAATACACTATTCACAGCTGTAATGATGACATACAATCCTGGTCAAAAGTCTCGCCTTGGGACACTATGCACGTTTGTCAATATATGGTCTTTCTCTCCTTCCAACTTCCCCCACCCACCCCAGCACAATCATAATGCTCATTCATCCAAAGTAGATCCACTCTTCCAACATTGCTTTGGGGGAAAGGGGACTCGGAAAATTGAATAATGACTTGCCGCTTTCAGTAAAATAACGCGTCACCAGTTGGCATTTTGTTAAGTGTTTCAAGGACGTTTGGCCAGGAAGGTAGAATGATGCGTAAACACATATGTCTATGTCGTGATTTAATAGCCTACCAACACATGTGTTTTTCCCTTGAAGTTCATAGCCTTTGTGACAGTGGCAAATGTATCCTCCATTAGTGTTCTTACACCATTGATTGCAAGGATTATTGGCGCATTCATCTATATCTAAATAAAGAAGAAATCGAACATGCAGAATGATAAATTTTAGTTTTCACTTTGATGCTTTTTGGTGCAAATGTTGAAGCCAACTCAGTGTTGGTCTATTCAACTTTTGCTTTTGTGTGTGTGTGTGTGTGTGTGGACGTAAAGTTTTCAACTATGCTTGATACTCTATTAATTATCTTCGAGCGTAAAATGAGTAAAAGATCGTGTTTTCATGGCAAACTGCGGGAAAATATGAACTCAGCGAGTGGCAATAGACCATTTCGAAGATACATTGTGCCTCTATTCCAAAACGAGTCTTCGAACATATTTTCATATGAATGGTTTCACGAAGATTCGTTTTGACACAGGCAAAAGGCAACTCGGAAGTGGCCAATTGAACTTAGGTACCTAGACACTTCGGATGGGTTCCAGTCCACCCTCCTCCCTGGCATGTTCTAGATGTGGATCCCTGGAGAGAATATCCTGCATTGCATGTGAATGTGATCGTACTTCCTACGTTGTAATTGGACGAAGACTTTGTGCCATAAATTGGTGCCCCAAGCGCCTTACAGTTGGTCGCTATAAAAGGTGAAACAAAAATAGAACGTCCTTCAGTGAGAAACACTATTACAAACCCGTTAATCCGGTCACAAACGGACCACAAAAATCTGGCCCCACTAACGTGGAGGCCGTGTTAAAGGGGTGCTTTAAATAACAAAATGGCTGACTACTCGTACCAGAATAAAGTGGCCGTAATAACGAGGTAGCCATATTAACGAGGTGACCGTATTAACGGGGTAGCCGTTAGGCGGGTTCCATTGTATCATTATTTCTTTCCTTATTTTTCTTTAGCACGTTCATTGGACAAATAAAAGTCTGATGGCTGGTCCTGTGAAGATATGACACATGACTTTACCTGTCTGACAATTCTTTCCTGTAAAGCCGCTTTTACATAAGCACAGGTAGTCGTTATATCTGTTGATACAAGTTCCTCCGTTCTGACAAGGTGATGTGCTGCACTCATTGGTATTATCTTGAGGTTTGACGATTGCTACGAAGAGAGAATACACTAAGCACTTGTTTTATTGTAACGCAACATCATTTGCACTGATTTACGCACAAGTACCTTGGTTTTGGCTCAAAACTTAGCTGGTAAATATAGATGCTTAAAGCAGGGCTCGGAATTAACTTTTTCGTTCAGGAGCCAGCTGGCGACAAACGGAAAAATTTTGGTCGCCAGATCTTAAATTTTGGTCGCAAACTTATTTTATATACAACTTACACAATAACACGATTTTATACGTTACTTTGCACGCAAGAAAAGTCACAATTGAAGAGCGAAAACAATTAGAAACAGCACGAGTAACACTTAGTTATAAAGCCACCGTTGTTCTCAGGTGATATGTATCTGGTCCGAAGGTGATGGTTGTCTCCATAGTCATTTTAAATGAATCGAAGCATAAAACGTTTTAGGTCCGTGTTTTTCATTGTGAGACAAACACGGGTTCTTTCGTATTTTCCCTTTGCTACTTCTTCGAAACACCGTTCTTTATTTTCGACTTGCTTTCCTCGACGCCTTTTCGCTGCCTACAGTTTGGTGAAATCCACTTTCCCTGCATCAAGGATTCAAAGTTTGGATCAACCTTTTGGTTGAATCTTAATACCCCGCACGTAAAAACTCACGTAATTGCTTCAACTGATTGGTATATCTGCCACCATTTTCGCGGCAAATGAAAAGCAAATGGTGTTGAAGTGCGCCTGCGATCCCAGTTTCGGAAGAAGCCGCTGAAACAAGATGGCGCGCCGTGAACGCAGTATCAACGTGTCGAAATACATTCAATTTTTTCGATTGTCTTGTAACATTCAGACATTATTTTACTGGGGACGGAAAGGTGAGTTGTATACTAGCTACCAGATCCGATTGACTTCCTAATATAAAGATTTAAAAACAAAAGTTGTGTCGTGGTTTTCTTTAGTTATCGGACGAAACGCGATCGAGTCGCCAGCTGGTGACCAGTTCTGAAAATTTAGTCGCCAGTGCTCAATTTTCGGTCGTATTGGCGACCAGTGAGTCGCAATTTCGAGCCCTGTTAAAGTATAAATCAGATTATGGGTATTTTAGAGTCACACAATGTTTTTCAATTTGGTCTCCCTTGGTGCCTGGGAAGCATTACTTCAAGTCATAAAGCGGCTTTCACTTGATTATCGCGAATGAAATACAAAGTAATCACTTTCGTCAATCCCAAAATACGCCAACAATCCAGCGAAGCAATCAAAACTTGAAGCAAAAGCATGTACCTGATACGAAGCGCGGAAACACGTCCCTGGGGTCTTCGAAATAAAAAGGACTGGGGTGCTCGTCGGTAATTTTGCAAAAAAAACGTAAAAGGTTCCAATACCCTGCTTTGTGGGCGTGGATTGAATTTTTTTGCCCCTAAGAGGTACTAATTCTACTGAACAACACATTAACTGACACTTGCATAATTTTTCACAGCGATAAATACGTGGTAAATGAGAAAAAAAAATAACAATCAGTTGATTTTCAAATATCTCCTGACATATATTTTTTTAGCTCAAAACCCTAAAAGGCACTGCGAAGGTCCCCACAATTGCGCGTAGTCGCGATCTACTTGTGACAATCAAGTGAAAACTACTCTAATCGCAATAGGCCATTTCTGAATTACCTTTAGCTTCTTTCTCAAAGCGAGTCTTAGTGCTAATCCTTTCATATGAAAATAAGATTTCATTCACATGCAAATTAAACTCATTTTGATATTAATGGTTGTGCACCAAGCCTCGCTTTGATAGAGAGGCTTAAGGCAACTGGGAAATGGGCTATTCGAACCGCTTATATTAGGGAGATGAATCGTTTTGAGCAGCTACCCAAATCTAGCGTCTTATAGTTCGTTCGCGTTCTAGTAAGTGCATGACAGGGACAGATTAAGTTGCCTTCTCATATCACATTTTTTGCAGCCTCTGCCAATTCGAAGAGATTTACAATATCTCAATCGAAAATTGTAATGGGTCGAGGGAAGGTTAAAGAAGTAAGACCTGTAACGTAATTCTTACGAAATAACAAGTACTTGCGCAATATCTATTAAACCATACTCTGAAGCTCATTAATAATTCATTAAGTTTAAACAAAAGAAATCATGACCGTGACGGTGTTTGGAATTAGCATAGATTTTAATTTTACGATTTTAATTATTCATTTTCTATCTAGCTTTAGTTTCGATTGAGAAGATATATCAAACACTCAAGACCGTGTTTGACCGCATTTCCAAACATCTCGAAGTTCGTCAAAAATACTCCGCTGCGTGTCGTATTTTGGAAATTTTGCGCGTCGCATTTGGAAATGTGGTCAAACACGGTCTTTCGTGTTTGATATATTACATGAAGTACTTACGCAGTGGGCAGCCATAAGCCTCAACTCTCATCGAGATATGTGCCTGCCATGACTGTGGTCTAAACCTGAGGTACAAAGCTTGAAACATTCTGACTTCATTACGAACCTCTGTGTCCTGGTCATTGTTGCCAGTAAGGGTCTGTAGGATTAAAACACTTAGAAGTTACGATGTGCAAACGTTCTGCTGTGCTCAACGCCTTGTGACAGTAGAAATAATTTGCTTTTGTCTTTCCGGAGGTAGTGATTTCATAAAATATAAAAACTTCCTTCGCACAAGTTTAAATTTAAAGGGTTAAATTAACTCACAAAGATCTGTGCCGATAAGATATTAAAAGAAAAAATAACTGTGACTCTATTTTTTTTTTTTTTTTCATTATAGTGATAAACTCTGCGTAAAACGCGCGGTAAAGGTACATCTTACGTTTGGATAGTAAGTCCAAGTTGATCCGTCGGTGCTGTATTCGAGTTTGTAGCTCTTCACCCATTGAGCAGCGTCCGCTCTGCCTTGAGTGACCACTCCAGTTATCTGAAAAATCTGGCCAAACTTGATTTGGAGATACTGATTTTGGTCATTATGTAGGGCAGCCCAACCTCCGATCTGAGTGGTTTGTCCCGCAGAGTTAACCTGAGCTTGAAAATTCAGACGACCTCCCAACGGCGCGTGTTTAGAATCATATGAGGTGGATGCTGTCATATCAGCGTCAGGAATACGGCTGTTTGTCGATACCCCAAGGCTTTTAAGGCAGTCTGTAAGGAAATATTCGTTAACAATTTTAAATATGCGAACTTCCATTTTAAGAGAGATGTCTAAGATTTAACCATTTCTCCACGGTACGACTAAACTTCCGGCTAACGTTGTCGAGTGAATAATGATTTAAGGTGACTCAAAACAGTTTTCACCACTTTCCAATACTTAGATTTTGATGGGTCATTATAACCACTCTTCATCAGTTAATGCTCCTTTCACGGTGTCAGGAAACTGCCCAATCAAGGGTGCACATGTTGTTGTCATTTTCGTGACACAATCGGTTACCATAGCAGCAGAATGACCTGCTAAAACACCTTTAATTTCAGTCTTAAGAATTATCGAGTTTCCATTAGGAGGATAAGATGCAACTATTGGCAAAGTTTAAAAAAATCTGTACATGGGTTCAGAGCTACCTTGAATTTTCGAAACTGTCATTCTCACCAACTCCCAAACACCTACAGAAACTCCAGAAACACTTCTTTTGGTTTGCGATTTCATCATCAGGGCTAAAACAGAGTTAACTTTTTACCGTTAACGTTGTAGAGTCAATCGCCAAATGGGAAAAATTCTCGGGGGAGGGGGTACTCCCTTATATGGGCTATATAGGGATGCGAGGCCCCAAAGGGTATGGTTTTTTAGTCGTTTTCGTCAGAAATAGGATATCGATTTCGGCCATTTTGGTCTCAAATATGTTATGGTTTTTGCACTCTAGTCTTGAATTGGGCACGTTTTTAGAAGAAACTACTTTTTCATCATTATCGATGAGACCATCAATAAAAGCCTTACACAATGCCTTTAACACCGATCTAAACTAGGCAACTGATTATAAGGCAGGTCAGGTGTTTAATAGGGTATCGAAATTTTTGTAAGATCATAAATAGGGTAGAGAAAATCACAGTTTGATCTTAAACAGGGTAAGGGTTTTGGGAGGCGGGTTGCACACTCTCACACAATTTTTCTGGGAGTGCCACCCTCCCCCCCCCCTCCCCCCTCCGGAGATGGGGCAGAGTAAAAGTGGGAAATTGCAGATAAAGAATGCCTCAACAGGCCTCAGTGTTAAAAAATATAGTGTTAAGTTTGCCCTACTAGCCCTGAAAGCTAAGAATGAAGAATTATGGCCGTTTTACTAACTCAATTGGAAGAATCTGAAGTTTGATGAGCTTGCCAACACACTGTTAACGGTTGATTTGTGGCTCAGGTAACACTTCTTGGAGGAGTCATCAAAGTCAAACGACCTGCAGATAAAGGAAGCTTCCGACAAGCAAGCCGACGCGCAGGCTTCTGGGGACGTGTTATCCACCGTTTTGTCATCGTTTCCAGATATGTAGGACTTGTAAGTTAAAGAGAATTTTCTCTGCGCGGCGGCAACTGAAATAGATTGAAAAGTGAAGGAAATTAAAGGAGTTCTTAATTGAGGACTCCGTTACATGTTCTTACCAGGTATTTTATGGACGTTCTGACCTTGTTTTGAATTTTTGAGTGCGATCACAGTGCCTGTGCCTTCCCAAGTGTAATGAAAACCACTTAATTGTGCAATGGAATCCCATCAATCCGGTAACCAGCGGGCCACTGAAATCTGGCTGTATCAACGGGGTGGCCGTATTAAAGGAGTTCTTTAAATAAGAAAGTGACTGACTGAGCTTTTGTTCGGGCCAGAATAAAGTGGCCGTAAAAGCGAGGTGGCTGTATCAAGGGGGTGGTCGTAAGTCGGGGTACGGTTCCAATATCAGGACCACTGTCAAACTTGTAATTATCAAGGGTACGTAGATAACTTTCAATATAGGAGCACCCCACCCAAGGCGAATAACAATACTACTAGTCAATAATTTCTCTTTCTGAAATCTCAATTCAAAAACTCCGTTAAAACATTGCCTTCAAGCCAGGATTAAGTACACATGGGAAGGTAAACAATATTACATATGAATACACTAAGTAAAAATACACTCACAGTCACAGGCGTACGATTTATCAGTCAAGTGGTACTCTCCATCCAGCTGCTCTCTGAAGTCGCCCCAAGCTGCAACATTTCCCTTGACATGATCACAGCTGTATGCAAGGTTGTAAATGTCGTTTTCTGACAGGGTGTAATCAAAGATGTTCATTTGACTAACATCGCCGATAAAGCTTTCTTCAGTATTAAACCCACCACCTATTTCGTCTTGCTCTTCGCCAAGGATCAATACACCACCTCCAGAAATAACTTCGCCCTGTTGGAAAGGCTCAGCAGAGCTTCTAATTTTCACGCCATCTTTATACGAGTGCCATGTCCCTCCCGCGCTCTCCCACGTAACTGCCACGTGATGCCACTGACCGTCGTTTACGTTCAGGCCCGTGTAGACTGTAATGTTGTTTACAAAAAGGTTGAAAGCAGCAGAGTCCTGCAAGGTCATTGCGTTGTCCTGCACTTTATTGACTTCTTGAGTGGCGTAGGAGATCACCGTACCTGGGTTACTATCACTGGTACGCATCCAAAAAGCAATGGTCAACGCGCTAAGGTTTGGAACTTCCTTTTTGCTCTCGGAATATGACTTGATTTCTCTGACTTGAAGAGACAGATCGTAGTCAGACGAAAGTACTATAAAAAGAAAAACGCATTTGAATTAGTCACTCGTGTGTCTCTGTGAGAATGCAGATGTTTAATTGCTTCTTTGATAACTCTGGAGCACTTGGTTTGTTCGCAACCGTTCGAATGGTTTGTGAAAATGCGTTGTTTACGTGTAGGACTGAAACCGTGTTGATTACTCAAGCCAACCGACTAGACATGTGGTCCACGTCTCCGGCGCCTGTAAATTGTTCCTCGCTATCAAGGACCTTGCTCTCTCCACTCGATCGGGTCACGTTAGAGAGAATTACTCAACAAAGTAGAGCACGTTAAGGTAAAAACTCTCTTGATAAGCTTCTCGTTTTTGTGGACAAAATGTCGAGAAAGGAGACAACGTCGAGGTAAAATATCATTTGCATACGAAAAATAGGAAATACTGAAAGAGAAGGATGTGATGGCGAAGCATCTTATCCAAGAGTAGTAGTAATGACACCATTACTTTAATGTAAGTAAATACTCTACAGAGCGGTTTTTAATTGACTGTCGAAAGTAATCAGGCAGTTATTTGGATTTGGTTTAGGTTTTACTACAGTTTGAGATTGACCGAGGAGTCCAATTGGTAAGTAATTGGTTTGATTTTGGCTTTATTACACTTAATTGAAAACCGCTCTAAACGGGCCCTATTTAACATTTAGATTTTGAGTTCGAGATTTCTATGAGGTGATAGTTGATGAGGGCAATGCCAAATCAAGAATCACCTCATAGAAATCGAGAGCTAGTAATCTAATTGTTCTAATAGAATTCGTATTAAATCTCCTTCAAGTACCAATTTCCAGTCATTTCTCAATGCGGTATTAAACTTCACGCTTTAGCGCGGATTGAATCGTTTTTTGCAACTCACAGTCGTGCACATGCGCTCATCGGTTCACTGAAAAATTTTTTGGTTTTCAAAGTGGCATAACGGTCAGTTTTAATTCCTTGTTCTTGTTTGTTGTTTATTTGATCATCCCCTTATAATTCTTAATCTTCCTAGAAACAATAAAGAAACTAGAAAACGTTGCTATTATGTGGACGACCTCTAATTAACAATTAGATTATAGTTGATAATTATTATTAGATTATTATTATAGTTGATGAGGCCGCAGGCCGAATCAACTATCGCCTAATAGAAATCGAGAGCTAATAATCTAATTGTTTTAGTAGAATTCTAACTGAAATAAACGCAAATAACGGTTTCTAATTGTCTTTCTGCGCATTATTGAACTTTACGCTCTAACAAAATCGCACGCATTGAATTGTCCTTAGTAAATTTGCTGTTTACGCGCGCGCACCCGTTTTTTCAATAATTTCAAGTTTTTGAAGTCAAGAAACCACTAATGTCCTTCTTTTGGTCTTCTCAGAAATTTAATTATCCATTTACATCTAAACTTTCTTCCAAAACTTCGGAAAAACGATAAAAACGCATTTTGTGGACGGTCGACAGCCACTGCACTCTAATGGCTGATACTATACGAGAAGCTCAGCCAATCAGATTGCAGCATTTGCATTAGTATACTAGTAGAATTCTACTAATGGCTGATAGTGTACGAGGAGCTCAGCCTATCAGATTGCAGCATTCGCATTAGTATCCTAGTAGAATTCTATCAATTCTTATATTCTGATTAAGAGATGCCAAAATTTTGAGAAATGTGATTTCACATATCAAGAATATTTGTCTGATTGACCATTCTCCCTTCAAGCATGCGTAAATTGTTATTGGTTCCTGAGTAAAAAGAACTCTCTTATCACGGGTTAATGATCGATATCATACCTTTAGAGCAGCGACATCCGTAATATGAAGGTGCACACTTGCAGTTGTAACCAGTTGGTGTATTTACACATGTGCCACCGTTATTACATGGCTGTCCCACGCAGTGATCAATGGCATGCTCGCAGTTGACGCCAGTGTAACCAACGGGGCATTGGCATTTGTACGATCGTAAATCGTCCACACAGGTACCCCCATTCTTACATGGATCCCCAGCGCAGTCATTGTTATCGATCTGGCAATTCGCACCACTGTATCCTTGATGACACTTGCAAGAGTAGGAATCCAAACCACTGATGCATACACCGTTATTTTGGCAAGGGTTTGCGGTACATTCGTCTATATTCAGATCGCAGAACTTTCCACTGTACCCCTGGGGGCACTGACAATCGAATGTTCCTGCTTTATCAATGCATTTTCCCCCATTGACACAAGGTGTGCGTTGTGTGCAAAGACTGAAAGGAAGTTCGCACTGATTGCCCGTGTATACAGCAGTACACAAGCATTTGAACGCATTCACCTGCAAAAAGTAATCCAGAGGTAACCTTTACGTACCTTTAATTGTACTTGCCTAGTCGTACAACAAAAATACTTTGATACCACAAAGAAAAAGAAAGTGAAGCTTAATGGTTCTTATTACACGACTTAATTACTTTAGAGCGCCAATGACTAACACAGCCGATCAGATTGCTCCATGGCGGGGCCAGCATAACTTGAAGTGTTCAGGATGATTCCAAATGATCCGGCCGGACCTCTCTTGAAAATTTCTGGTAGCCTTATCGCTTACGTTTCTCACAAAACTTAGGTAATTATTTTTTTTATTAACCAAGCTTGCTCTGGACTACAATAGTTGAATATGGGCCTTTTGTCCTTTTTGCACGGACCTCGCTGCGCTCGATCCAGTCTGTCAAGACCTCGGAACTATATTCTCCCAACACGGCCCTTGTGCTTGGTAATTAAGATATATTTACTATGTAGAGCACTTTTCGGAACTTAGACAACTGGTTGGCTGATAAAAGGGACTAGATGGGGGTACCGGAATCATAGATAGAGGTAGAACATTTTGGCGAATATTTCTCAGATGTCAGTGTAGTCTTCAGATCTCGATTCTCAGTTGTCAGCTTAGAGAGAATTGGATAAAAAAGAAAACAATTTCGCTCCAAATCACAAGCTGGTGTTTGTGTTGAATGAGGCTACAGGTTGCTTGTAGTTTGTATCTAAATACCTTGTTGACACAAGTGGATGCCTCGTAACACGGCGAAGAGAGACACTCGTTGATTTCTATCTCGCAATTCTGTCCTTGGAATCCAGGTTTGCAGTCACATCGGTAAGATTCTTTCGTGTTCACACATGTTCCACCATTCATGCACGGGCTCGAAACACATGTGTCCACCTCTGTAATTGAAGGTTGCACCCATTACAGTTACTATACAAATAAGGGGCCTCAAATGTGGTAAAGGAACATTTCATTTTCTGTAGCATTTGGCTATCACCTCAACTTTGCGTCAAATTTTGGGGGAGGATATTGTTGATATCATCAGAAGATGAACTTCATTTCCTACGGTTGACTGACTGGTACCTTTGAAAGCAGGATCTGACACTGGCAGTGTTTAATATCGCAAGTACTCTAATGTCTCACCTGTACAGAATGCCAGGGAACTTGCCCCAGTGCCGTGTGTAGATTCTTGTCCCGGACAAGGCAGGGAGGATGTTTGCCCAAGAAAATTCTGATACGTTCCAACAGGAGAAGGCAAGCACGGTTCCACTCCATTTTCTGAGTATGTTCCCGGAGCACATTGCACTGAAACATGGTTATATACGTGTATAATGTTTGTTTAATAGTATTGTACCATCTCAACCAGAGCAAAACAGTTAAAATTGAAACCATTTGGATGCATTTTATTGACAACCCATATCTAACGTTAGGGTAGTAGATAACACGGATGGCAATCTGTCCAAAATTTTTGTTTTATTCTTCGTACGAATTAGACGAAGATTTGAACAAATAATCAGCCAGTAAGTTCAACTTTAGATAGATGGATAAATAAATAAATAAATAAATAAACTTGCCATTAAAAAAAAGCGGTTAACCTGTCTGTCACAATTAACAGCAAAAACAGCACTCACTTCCACAATCCTGGATTCCTTTAGCTGCACTAATGACAGTTACAGTGCCTGCTGGGCAATTACTGCAGGCTTTGTTTCGTTTTTGTGCAGAGTAGGTACCACTAGGGCAGATGAAGCACTTAGCTATACCAGTTGGAGAATACAGTCCTGGGCCACATTCATCTGAAAAAGTCAAGTGGATGAATTTTACCATGTTTTAACAACGAGAATAAAAAGAGAGTTGAAATAACGCTCAGAGGACTGTTTTTGAGAAACTTCGAGGTATTTGGAAATGCGATGAAACACAATCTCGAGTGTTTGACACATCTTTTCAATTGGAACACAAACTAAGGAGAAGACGGAGAAATAAAATTGTTAGGTCTATACCAAATAGTTTCAGATCCAAACACTGTCCCTGATTTTTTGTTTCTGATATGATTCTGACTCTCAAGTAACACGCCTGTGGAAATCTTCAATAGCACTATAACACCTAATTCGGTGGCGACTTCAACATGAGCTTTTTTCACTAGAAATGAAGATAAGTAGTCACAACGTTCATCGATGAAAGAGGGTGGTAAACGTTTAATTTTTGATGTCTAGCTTGCGAATCTAAGCTCGATTACCAGCCGCTGCTCGGGAAAGTAGACCAGACTCGAGAAAGCGGCTGAAATAAAGCCTAGTCAAATGAACATAAGACAGAATACAAGGAATCACTCAAACAAATGCCAAAAATCAAAACCAAAGCAATTACCTGTGCAGGCTGTAAAGTTCTCTTTCCTTGTTCCTAAAGTCCATGTCCCTTCTGGACATCTTTCACACACCAGAGCACCTTCTCTGGGGCTGTACGAGCCTTCTGGACATAGAAGACAGTCATCTGCGGGTCTGTCATAATACGTTCCCACAGGACAGCGCGCTATAAAAGAAAACGATCATTTAAAAGTTACCTCGTTGTGCCAGTTATACTGGTAATACCACCTGAAGCATTTCTGCTTTTCGTTTCTTTTTTCCAATTGGAAATCAGTGAACGCTGTCATTGTATAATCAGTTGAAGGTAGGTTCTGACAGTGTTAGATATTCTAATTCCTCACCGTATACGTTTTTGTAACCTAAACACCCTTTTACGAGACCTAAATTGACTTCTTTGCGAGAACCTGCAAGAGTCGTTTTAAGCATTACTTTATTTATTTTTTCACAACTAATACACGGAACAAGGTTGGTGATGGATACCGGCATACCGGCCAAGTGGCCCATCATGTCGGTACTTATCCTGGTTTCTGTAGTATGAAGCCACTAGGAGTATCCCCCCTGGGTGGGATGCTAGTCCATCGCAGCGTTAACCCCCGGCATTTAATTCGCCGATATTCCTAATACACCTGAGTGTAAAGAGGCTCTGCGAGAGAGAGAAGTGTCCTGCCCAAACACACAGCACAATGACCCCGGCCAGAGCTCGAACCCGGACCGCTCGATCCGGAGTCGAGCGCACTAACCATAGGGCCACCGCGTCTCCATGGTGATGGGCATATTGGCGTACTTACTGCATTTTGTGACTGCCCCTGTATCCTTGTTGCACTTGCATGGTGGTTCAAAACAGTTGATGTCGGCTTCAGAACACTTCTTAACCACGGCACCCTCCTCTGAACAATAAGCGTCAACCGGTCCGAGGTTGAAGTTGTCGACGTCTTTGTTTTTTAATTCTAGTCCTGATGATGCCTGAAATTCTCCCCAGTTGATTGTTTTCAGGCCGTCATAAACCTGTGTCCTCGACGTTTCCAGTCTTGCTTTCTCTGCATTGAACGCGGCCTGACCTGCGTTGTCATTGGTTCCTTGCGTGAGGCCAATGCCTTTCTCGATGTAGTCATAGTTGAATGTGACCTTCAAACCACAAATGATTAATTTCACTGTCGACATTAACACGTAAAGGCGAGGTAGGCTAAGTTACAAAACAGGACGTCACTGGAGTGAATGGATAATGACCTTAATTTACACAATTTATGCAAGATCAATAAATAAATTAAATAATATATAGATTTAGCCAAGCCTAAAAGCGGAGCTCCTGGACCGGGTCTTTCAAAGCCCGATTAAGCTAGCCCAGGATAAGCGAGAAGTTTGATTTGAGTTTTGTAACATTCCAGAGAGGTTTTCTGTTTAGATTGATGGGATTTCTGTTTTGAACTTCAATAATCTCATACACAAAATAAAAGCAGTGAAAATCGTTTTTATACCTTCCGAACAAGCAAACCTGACATGAGCCCGCGATCCAATCGAAAAGAAGTACTTGGTCGGCGGTCAACTTCACAAAACTTGAGAACTCGATGAGCTCTCAACCTGAGCCCGTGATATGGTCACGTGATACTGGTCAGCGAATACCTTGTTTTGACAGGTCTAAATTGTCAATGGATGTCCAATATCAAATATGTAAGTTATAAACCAAGACTGCATGCCTCGGTCGACCTATTAGCTGGAATGTGGCCGCCATATGTTATGTTGCGCGACGTCGTCGTCGTTGGGCGCACGCGCCCGTGATCCACGCTGCTAGCCATGTTGACCATGAAAAAAGAGTTGCATGGGTTTCTATTTCTATGCATGCATGTGGTTCTGTTCCTATAGTTATGGGGCTCCGCTTGGAGGATCTTCGGCCTGCCGGAGCTCAGCTCCGCTATTATAGCTTTTGGGGTCAAGTGTAAAGCAACAAAAAACCGCAGTGAAAAGGAGAATGCAAACATAGAAATGCTTATTAACTATTAACTCATTTATGATGAAGTAATGAAAAAAATCAATGTGCTAAATGACGTAGACACTTGAAACACAGTCTAGAAACACATTTGTACGCGTTGGCGAGACACAATTTAGTAAAACTATTGCCCTTACGGTAATAGTTGTGGTCATATCGAGGCTATTAATTTTAGATAACTGCAAAGCCTAATGATCATCGCTGCAGCTATGTACAAAGTGATAATATGTCCAAATATCACCTGAAAATAAATCAGCCTTGAGCTGGATTCGAACCCGTGACGTTTGCAATACCGGTGCAGTGCTTTACCAATTGAGCTATCAAGCCAACTGGGAGCTATACCCGTACATGTCATGTATATGTTGAAGAACGCAAGTGAATTTGAATAAGGATCTTACATTTGAAATGCGCAGTAAGATATATAGACTTGAAATGATCATCGCAGTTACGTACAAAACTTTTGAAGCACTAGCCGTGAAAATAACGCCCGAAAAAATTCCATAACCATGCATTTAACTATTTCGGTAATGTGACCTCTCCTCTGTTCACTCTAACTACATGTATAGTTTAAACTTAACTTATACCCAAACAAGGCTAGTGGGATTAAACTGCACTTCAAGTCACAATCCTGGTCACAAGTGTTGGGACAGTTCACGGCAGATGACTTCCCAGGCAGCCTCTCTTAAGACCAAGACCGCGTAAGTCCGCCTGCCCCCCTCCCCCGTCAATGTTGATAAAAATCTTGAAAAAAAACCTTGACAATAGCTTCAGAATAGCCGCGTTTTTTTTTTGCTAGAACAATATTCTCCAGGTAAAGTGACGATAAGATAGATATCCACGTCTTATTCCAATAATAATGATTTTTCAACAATCACGTTCGGTTCCAACACAACTGTCTAACCACTTTCTATCGTCCCTTTTTCATTTTTAACCATATCCGATCTAGTCTTCAGAATAGCTTCATTTTCTTTCAACATTGCTAGGGGGGAGGGGCTCTATTCATCTTTTTCTAAAACGTCAAGGACGTAGTTGAAATCGGGGTTTTAGCTCGCAAAAGGGGAAATGTCCCAACAACTTATGGCCAGGATTGTAGGTTAACTGCTCTCTCGAGAAGAGAGCGCGGGCTCATTTCCCTGACAGCTGCTGGTAATCGAACTTCAGTCCCAATACCTCTGATTCCGTCTGCCAATAAACATTAAGCAAACTTAAGCAAACCACGACGGCAATGGCAACAAGAACGTCTCCAAACAAAAGATTTGATGAGCAGAACAATGGCAGTTCACGTGTGTTATCAAAGAATTGTTTCACGCTTAACGTGCGTATATCGAGTTATGGATGCACGCGGGAAGTTTGGAGAACACGAGAGAAGAGTAAGATATGCTCGAGGTGCAGCTGAAAGCAACTCTAGCCTCTTGAGTGCTCTCCAAACTTCCCAAGTGTATCCATAACTCAATATACGCACGGCTAAAAGCATGAACCAATTCTTTTATAACATAGCGAAGACAACTTGGGCGCTGAAACATTTTTTTTCTGTGGTTGTCTACAAATTTCTCACAATGCACGGTGATGGAAAATAAAGGTTAAAAAAACGTTACAATCAGTTAAGCGACGGTTGGGCGAGAACGCTTCGACAGGTCTCTAAAACTGTAAAAAAAATTCGCTTCTTCGCCTTAATGAAAATTCAGGCAAACAAAGTCAAAATACACACTGAAAATGTAGGCAAACAAAGTCAAAGTGCTCAAATTTTAGTAAACATCTTAGCTTGGTAAAAGTCAACGACTCGAAGTAGAGTTTGGATTGTTCCGAATGATGTTCACATTGTCGAAACTTTAACAAATTTAAAAGGAAATTGCAGTTAAACTCGACAGAAACTTTGCAACCAAAATGAAACTGCACAGGTCATGTTATATACGCAGCCTCGATAGGAATTAGATAGGACCAGCGCGCGCACTATGTTATTGTGGTGCATTTCTTAGCAGTCCACTGGAAAACAACAATATGAAAAGACAAAGTTCTGCGTATTTTGGAGGAAGCGGACGACGGCATCCAATTTTTCGTATTTTCATTTGGAAATGATCGCTGGCATTACATAAGTTTTACATACGTTTTGATACCGATAGGCGCACCGAACAGATCTAGACAATTGAGAAATTCGAAGGTAAACTATAACTTCATTTTTTGCTAGGCGTTGTCCTCGGGGTCATCGTCATCATTGCTTAAACTCCCTGTTCACCAGTTTCATACCTCTCTGACAGAGCGTCTCTTCCGTCTGCTCTCTGGCACCGAAGTAGCTCCACAGAATATCTCTATTGTGCTCATGTTGCACTGGGGCTTTAATAAACAGAAGAACGGCGGTACTTTGGGACTCCTGAGGATGTTATTAAGGAAACTCTCCTTTAGCCTAGTTTGCACATTGGGATCATTGCAGTCTCCGTCGTAAAAGAAAAGTGGATGGTTGTTCAACTTCAACCAAGAAGGATTCTCAGTTTCTGTTGGGGTAGCAAAAAATAATTCAGTCAAACAATTAAACAAGTAAAACGAAATTATGGTTCATAGTTATACCTAGAATCTATCCATAGCAAAATTCTTGATTGTGATTGGTTCTCCGCGCACTTATTTGCGGTTGCAACTTTTTGTTATTGGACGCCTGTAACTGCACAATGACGCCATTAGCAAATCAACCACGTGCGCTCAGTTGAAGGCGGGGGTCTACATGAAGGCCGTATTTTGGCTGGGTATTATGGTTTTAATGCAAATATCTCGTTCACGTTTCAAGCAGTCAAGAATCTCTCTGCTCATCCCACATATCTATGTTTTGGYCTGTTTCGTAGATTTTTTTTGGTGACTTTTAGGTATATTTGGAGATAAATAGTTTTTATCAAAGGCTCAGTAAAATTTATGGAAATAGGAAATTTTGAAGATTTGGTATTGTTTTAAAATTAGAATTTGAAGTTAAAAATTGGTAGACGTTCCATAACCTTTTCCCCCTTTTAATCCCTCTTTAAACTTCCTAAAATTTCACTTAAAGTCTTGTTTACCCCCGCCTTAATGGCTTCCTTCTTAACCTGCCCTAGAGTTTTTTTTTTAAAGAATTTTTCGCTCAAAAGAAGTTTTCAAAACACTTGCAATTCACAAAGTCACAAACTCGTACAATTTAGGGAGTAATCGTATCTATAACAAAATTTTCGATGGCGATTGATTCTCCGCGCGCCTATCTGTCACGTAATCGGCGCGCAATCAAGTGGGTGTCCAATTACAGGTATGAAATAACAATTGTTTTGTAATTTGATACCCACTTGAGTCACGTGATTGTCACCAATTGCCCTTTAATGGCTTTCTTCTTAATGTTTCCTACAGTTTTTAAAACTTATGGAAAGCGCTTCGGACTTTTTCGCTCAAAGAAATTCTCCAAAGACTTTTTTAATTTCAAAATTTGTTACACATACGAGAAATTAATAATTGGACCACGCGTGGTACAATTGAGGGAGTAATCGTGATCATAATTTCAAATCGCTCTTGCGCTTCGTGCTCGTCCGATATTGAAATTATTATTTGTGCGATTACTCCCTGAATTGTAATCCACTCGGTCCAGTGACCCGTTTCTTGAAGGTCCCGAAAAGTTTTCGCACCCGGAAAGTCGTAGCAAAATCTCAAACCTTATGATTTATTTTTACAGAGCCGTTTTATTCACATATTCTTAATGTAAACAGAGGTTCCATTCTGTAAAAGACGTTTTAGACGTATACACCTCTCTGTCTACCGACTAACTAAGAATGGTTTTTCGGGCCCGAAAAGCTTCCGGGGCTTTCTAGAAACAGGCCCCAGGTTACTATTACTAGATATCGACGTGAAGTTCACAAATGTAATTGAGGGGCGTAAAGTTCCTGCGCTAATTGACATGGCCTGTAATTTCCTGGGGTTTTTTTGCACTAGAAAGCTTACCAAACATGCTGCTTGCTGTCACTTTTTTTCCTTAATTTACCGACACTTGTCGTGCTCATTTTCCATATACGGTCAAAATTGAGCTGCAGGTATAAATAAACAATAGCCTCCATTTGGCGCGGAAATATGCTAGGATATTTGTCCGCGGACATTATTTGTTCCGAGAAGCGAACAGTTTTCCGAGAGCGTATATGGAAAATGAGCACGACAACTGTCGGTAAATTCGGTCACGTGACGTGTTTAGACCAATCACACGCGAGCGAAAATATTTGATGGATTGTAATGGCTGGTAACCGCGATTCAGTGAGCCGTCTGAAAATCTAAAATGCATTATCTGAGGTATAGAACGTAAGAATGTATATAACCCTCGCAGTTTTGATTCTTTTAACTGGCAGTGAAGCTTTTTAGATCAGTTAAATTTTACATCTATATTTGAAATCACTACCAATCTTATTTCTTACTTACTAGAACAATCTGGCCACGGTAATGTCTTGCTGTAATTTTGACCCGGTAAGGCATAATAGTTCCATGTTCCAGATGAGCAGAAGTACAGATAAGGAGGATTGAAAACAAAGTCGTTGTCTTTTTGGCACTTAACGGAGCAAGATCGGTCGGTTCCATATATGTGGCAGACCAGAGCACCGTTCTTTGGAGGCGGGTACAGTGGACAAGACTTCTCTGTAAAACAAAAACAAGCATTGGCAAGTTTAAAATACTAAGGCTATGTTCGCACTTGGTGCCCGAGCATGGTGCTCAAGTACGATTCTCGCTGGATACTAATGTAAACACACCTTTTTTCCAAATACTCTCACTACGATTCGGGTACAGTGCCCGTGCTCGGATACAGGGTCTCGACCTTGTACTCGGGCACTAAATAGCACTTAGGTACTTAGAGTACCCAGTATCTGAACGGAACACTTTTTTGTGCCGGTGCGCAGGCACCAGTGTCATTAAGAGAACATGAAAACCATTCTCATGAGAAGGCGATGGAGATGGATCGGGCACGAGCTCAGATGAGAACCCGACAACATCACACCAAGTGTGAACACAGCCTAGTCTGCACACGAGCCAAGTGGTCTATCAGGCCGGAGCTTATCCCAGTTTCCTTAGCATGAAGCAACTAGGAGTATTTCTACTCTACTCCCCTGGGTGGGATGCTGGTCCATCGCAGGGTTACCCCCAACTTTAAATTAACCGGTACTCATTTATACACATGGATAGAGGAGGCACTGTGAGAGTAAAACGTTTTTCCCAAGAACACAACACAATGTCTCCGAAGACGAGCGCGCTAACCATGAGTCTACCGCGCCTCCACAGACACAGCCTAAGTGTAACAAGACTTGTGGGGAAATCATAAAAAACTGAAACTTGTAGTTAACTCATAGTCAAACTTGTAGTCATACCATGTTCACTACTCGAGACGGGACTCCAAACATGACTTTGCCATCGAAATTAAAATAGCCAGGAAAAGTATCGATGTTACTAGCCTGCTACCAAAGGCGGATACAGGGTAGGGGTTGAGAGACCAGTGCCATCCTCACCTTGAGTAGCATTTTTTGTTATTTGTTTGACTCATCATAAAAATAATAGAATAACATTGTTTTATACCTGGTTGTTTCACTTCCACCACTTGACTGGTTGTCAAGTTTGGAAAAGATAATGTACATTTCACGACAGCATCATTAGTTTTGTTTTTCTGGTTGATAAAAGGGAAACTCCAGCTTTTTTATCGAAGATGTCTTCACAAACGTTTTTCAAGTATCAGGAATGCTAGAACGAGTGTTTTAAGGGGGCATGGCTCGGACCCCCCGAGAAGGTCGCGCCTACGGTGCAAGCCATCTACCTAACTACGGCCTTAAGTCATGGCGATACTTTGGACCTAAATTATAGAACAGTCTCCCGGACTCAATCAGATCCTCGGCGAACTATAAAGCTTTTAAAAATGCACTAAGTGACGTGGACATCAGCTGCCATATGTAAACTTGTTTTAACTTTTTTTTTTTTTTTTTCATTTTCTTATCTTACTTGTACATAGTTTTTATCTGTACAATTTATATAATTTTTTTTCAATTCTTATACATTCTGAGATATTTTATAGCAGTGATATATTCTTAAATAATTTGGTTTAATATATATAACCAACTGTATACATTTTTACTTTGTTATTTTATTTTCATGGCGCACGTGTAAACTAGCTGTTGCGTCCTGTAGACTCTACTTATCAAGTCGATGGGACGCACCGTTACCATAGCTAAGCGTGTTGTACAAGTAAAGTAAACTGTCAATGTCTATTTCTATGTTTAATTTGCACTGCAATGCAAATTAACGAGAACGCTGTCGTAATTTTCTCAGTCATATAATAAATAAATAATCCAATAAAAGCTCGAGCATTAAGGATTTACTCTCCAAGTATTATTTGAAAATTCTTCCCAATGGTACTCGCCCGAGGATTGGTACAATTTTAAGAGAATTTTCAAATTCACTCGTGTGTAAATCCTTGATTGCATTCGCGTTTATATGCAATTTCCTATAATAATTGCAACAGACAAATACTCACTCCTGATTGTAATTCTAAAATGACAGTTTTTGTTCTGGTTATTCGCTTCATCGCTGACGGTATATGTTACTTCCCTGGAGCTTGGCACCGGAAACAATGCTCCAGTCTGTGTGTTGGAGATGATGGATGGTGGCTGTCCGGAGTTGTCAGAACATTTCGGCCTAAGCCAGTTCACTCTTATTTCAAGGCCAGTGGCATTGTCTATGGTTATGTCCGGTGGACAAAAACCACACGTTGGCGCTTCTGTGTCTGGAGGAATGAAAATGATGAACATTAAATGGAGGCTATCATCAACCTTCTTTTTGAAGTCTTGGAGTAAAAGTTAAATAATGTGCATCTATCAGTCTCGAGAGGTTATGGATACGTGGTCTGGGTGTTAGTTCTGGCTATGGTACAGCGTCGGGTGTGACTGGTCAAGCCGATCCGGGAGTGACAGTCTCTCTCAAACTGGTCTGTCTGCCTGGCTTCGGGTCTTCGTTCCCTGTCTCTTTGTTTAGTTCTGTAAAAAAAGCGACATGCTAAATCCCTGGGATAATAATTTACATGTAATCTCCACTTACCTGTTACTTCAACAGTAAAGGAACATGAGGCCGAATTTCCGGCGTTATCCGTCACAACGTACTTCACGTCATTTGAGCCGATTCCTATTAACTTGGGAAGTTTTGTATCCACTTCCTTTTTCTCTATCGTCAGTACGACCTTAAATAAATCCACCGTTATCCCAGGCTCGTTCTCAGTCAACGAGTTGTCCTTAAATGTGAAATTCCAGTTAGCACTTGAAACATTTTCCCCCTTGCTGTTGTTTAACTTTAACGTGCCGGTTGGGCACTCTAACACTGGCGGTTGATAATCTAACCGTGAGAAAAAAAAAAACAATTGTATAATGAGACGAATTATTCTCGCGTTCTGATTGGTTCTTACTTGTTATCTATTGGAGGACAGACGTAGAGATGGCGTCACGAACACTTTCTTGTTTCTTTATTTAAAAAGTAGCTTCCATGTTGCCCGGCGTTTGTTTAGAAAAAGATCACAGATAACGTCAACGTGTGGTGGGAACATCAAACCATTATTGCAATTGTAACTAGACCAATACCTCCTTTTGGAGAGAAAGGCGCAATGAAGGTGTACTATTACTGTTACTGTCACATCACTATCATTATCACTATCACTATCATTATTGTTATTACTATGACTATTACCATCACTGTTACTATTAGTGACGCAGTTACTTAACGGCTCACGGGCCAATTGTTTGTTCTTACCATATTTTGACGTCGTCTGTGATCAATAACTGAACAGACGCACAGCAACATGGAATCTATTTGTTATCATAAAACCGCAAAAAGGGCCGGAACCAATATAATTAGATTTTTTTTAAGATAGCCGGCAAAGAAAAAGAGAGAGAGATTTTTCACTTAGTCTCGACTGTGATTAATCCCTCTTGTTAGCCCAGCAACTTGACGGAAACCGACTATGGACAATTGTAATGACTGCCAACGGTTGTGATTTGGACGCATTGAAACATGTTAATCGAGGAGACCTATTATTATTATTCGTTATTTTAAAACACAAACGACATCTTATAAAAGTAATATACCTTATTACACGAAACCTCGAATTTTGCGCCCTTTGGGAGAATCTCGAAAATCTGGTGTTGGAGTAAAACAAATTTGCCATAGTTATTTATGACAGAAATTTCATTCCAATGCTCCAACTTTTCAAAAAATAAAGTTTCTTATGATAGGCGAGTACCAAAACTGCAAAGTTAGCTGTCACGAGAATTTCGAGTCCTCTTCAATCGTACATTAGATTTAAGGTTCATTTTTGTCCTTTTGATCCTGCTTTTCATGACGTGCAACGTGGTGCTTTAAAAACATGAAAAAAATCGGAACGCTCGCGCAAAAGAATATTGTGCGTGCAAGCCATTCAGGCCCCGTACACATTAAGGAGGAGAAATTTGAAAACGCGGTTTTCACTCTGTAAGCATTTTGGCTGCGTATTTTAGGAAAACTCGGGCAGGGAAATTCCATGCATGATCGTCGTGATTGCAACGTCTTCGAAAAGCTCTGTTTGCAAAATGTTTTTCGTCCACACTAAAACGCAAAGCCGGCGTTTTCAAATTTCTCTAGTTTGAAGAGAGTTTTCGAAAAGCTCAGTTTTCGTGACGGATTAGTGTGGACGGTAGACCTAACAACGGAAATAAAGCTGCGTTTTCAAATTTCTCTGGGGTAGTGTCGACGAGGCCTGAAAAATCATACACCAGAACCCGAACGATCTAATCTGGAACTCAACGGCATAAGTTAGTACACGAGTTCTCTATTGATCTTCACAAGAACATTTAAACAGTTCTCATTGACTTAAAAAGAATAGAGGTTTGCTAAAGGGCTGAAGTTACTTCTCATGGACTGTACCTAGACAAACTGGAGTAGTGGATCTGTATTCCCATGTGCCATTTAACAGACATGTCCTTTGGTAACTTGATATATCGTGAGGAAGGTTATTGATGTGATATCCGGATGGGCAGTTAAGCCTGCAGTTTGTGCCATATGGTTGGGTGCTGTTGTCACACGTTTTCGGGAAGTACCAACCAACAGAAGCTTTGGGAAGCGCTGGGCATGTTATCTCTGGGACGGTAAACAACAAATCGTATTTTACAATCAGCAAGGTATGATATAACTACAATTTCACTGGCTATGTAATCATATTTAAAAAAATAAGCTTATTGAAATAAGCTTTCTTTATTATTTCTAGTACTTTTGCTGTCTTTTTTCAATTTTCTTATACAACTGCCTCACGGTTACAGCAAGGAGCCCAAAAGTGTATTAACATTCTTTCATCCGTGCAGACTATCCAATCAGAGGCCGAGGAGGGATTTTCTTGACTTCCGATTGGATAGCATGGACGCACGAAAGAATGTTAACAAATTAAAATTGTCAGACTTTTTGCTGTAAAAGAGCCCCAGTTCTCTGGCCCGGGGTATACTCCCTTATATGGGCTATGTCGGTAAATGTATATTATTATTACTATTATTATTATTATTATTATTATTATTATTATTATTATTATTATTATTATTATTTTATTATTATAAAGTTGTAATTTTTTATAAGCCACTAATAAACATTATTATTATTAAAAAAAAATTTTTAATTATTATTATTATTATTATTATTAATCTTTTGGATAGCATGAACACACGAAAGAATGTGAACAAATTAAAATTGTCACACTTTTTGCTGCAAAAGAGCCCCAGTTCTCTAGCCCGGGGTATACTCCCTTATATGGGCTATGTCGGTAAATGTATATTATTATTACTATTATTATTATTATTATTATTATTATTATTATTATTTTATTATTATAAAGTTGTAATTTTTTATAAGCCACTAATAAACATTATTATTATTATTATTAATTTTTTCGACAAATGATAAGGGTTGTAAAGAATGAGTGTAATTTGTAATTCGTTTATAAGTTAGTATTTCCCTGAAATATATATTGTCCTAAGAATTTTTACAGTTGTAATTTTTTATAAGCCACTAATAAACATTATTATTTATTATGAAAAAATATTATTATTATTATCATCATTAGTAGTAGTAGTAGTAGTAGTATTAGCATTAGTTGTAGTAACCATAATTTTAATCATCATCATCATTATTATTATTATTATGCGAACCCAAGAGGGTATCGTGTTTTAGCCGTTTTGGTCGTTAATCTGGTATCGATTGTGGCTATTGTCTTAAATAGGGTATGGCTTTTGCACTCTGGACTTGAATTGGGTGTATTTTTTAGAATAAGCTACTTTTTCAATCATTATCGATAAGACCGTCAATGCCTTCACAATGCCGTTAACTTTGGTCTGAACGAGGGAACTAATTGTAAGACCGGTCTGAAACAGAGTATTGAATTAAGGGTCAGGTCTTAAATGAGGTATAAAATTCCTGATTAGGTAATAAATAAAGGTAAAAAAAAAGGTTAAGTCTGCATAAGAGCCAAGTGGCCCACCAGGCCGGAGCTTATCCGAATTTCTGTAGCATGAAGCGACTAGGAGTATTTCTACTCCCCCCTGGATGAGATGCTAATCTATCGTAGGGTTAGCCCCAGCATTAAGTTCGCCGGTACCCATTTATATTCCTGGGTGGAGAGAGGCACTGTGAGAGTAAAGCGTCTTGCCTAAGAACACAACATGATGTACCCGGCCAGGGGTCGAACCCGGACCGCTCGATCCTGAGACGAGTGCACTAACCGTGAGGCTATCACGTCTCCCAGAGTAGGTCATAAATAGGTTAGGGAAAAGTTTGGTCATAAATAGCTTTAGGTGTTTGGGAAGCGGGCCACACACTCCCTCACGATTTTTCTGGGAGTACCCCCCGGAGACTGACGTCGGCCAATTCCTTTTTAACTTACCTTTACAAGTAGGATGCGGTAGAGGAGCCCACGTTTTTTCCAGCCGACACGTGATGTTTTCGTTCCCTTCACGTTGGAACCCAGTCCTGCATTTATAGGTACACTTTGTCTGATATACCATGTTGGTTGCTGGGCTTCCGTCAGGTTTGGTACATGTTCCCGTAGGGGGATTAGCGTTGGGGACAGACTTGAGTTTGCAGACAATAGCTGATCAAGAAATAATCAACCCGTGTTAACCAATAGAGTACGATTTGGCAAACAGATGGTGCCTGTCATAAGAGGATGGTCTCAGAGCGCTCAAGGACGTTCGCCCGAAAATGCGCTGCTTGATAGATTACTTGGCTTCACACTAGAAGCTAAGTTAGTTTCAAGTAAGCACTTCACTTAAGTGCACTTGAAAATCTCAAGTCATACTTTAGAAAACTTGGCTTCACACCTGATGACAAAGAGTGTCACTTGAAGCATTTTCGCAGTAGAATCAGTCACACATATCACAAATGCGATTGTTCGTCAGTAAAATCGTGATGAAATGCATATGGTCGCTTTGTTGCTAAAGAGCAAAGGAACAAACGACATCTTCTGTATTTCTCTAGAATGGCTCAACGCGGGTTTCGGCAAAGAAATTGCTGTATGGCTTTAGCTAACCTAGAAAATGCATATCCGTGTGACTCGTCCACTGTTTAACAGAGTTTTTCAAGTGCAAAGAAATGACCTGGTTGAAACTTAAACAGAAGCTGGTTTGTAATTTGCAGAAGAGCATTTGGTGTCGAATGATATGAAAAGCAATGGTTTAAGCTGTCTATGATGATGAAATTCAAACAATTAATTTGTTTATCGGTCCGTTGATCAGAATTATAGCAATGCTGCACATCGCTTTCAGTTGGCTCCCATTTCCTATTTGTCAAGTGCGTTCTCAAGTGTGGTGTGCACCATACTTGGCGGCGCACTTCGGCTTCTTTGATCTACGAACGTTTCCATGGTCACTAAGTAAAGTCCAAGTAAGAACATTTTACCCCTTCACACTAAAAGTAGCTTCCAAGTGCACTTAGATTATAGTTACAAGCTCTAGTGTGAAGCCAAGCATTTTCTTCAAACTTCTACTGAGGACAGACAATGCATTACTTGTTTCAGGAATAAAAAAAAATTGGGGGTCACGGACTTCGTTTCAGAGAAAAAGCGTGTGGAAAAGTAGTCTGATTTTGAAAAATTGGCGCGCGTAAATCAGCATAGTCTGCCAGAATTTTTAGCTTAAAATATCAAAGATGAATCAACGGAGACAAGCTATCCTCGCAATATTTTGTATAAGTGAATCCGTTGCGTTAATAATTCTAAATGTTGCCAGCGTTTTCACAAAACATAGCCCTTCAAGAGGCATTTGAAACCGCGGCACAGATAAACGAAGAGCTAGAAAGAACGGAATTCGATAGTCCGTGTTGCAAAAAATTCAAACTTCTAATCGATGGATTGTCTTTATTTTTCCGACGAGCGTCCCTGACCTAAGAGTCCACTCCACAGGGATCTAGAATACGTTTGCTCGTTGTGTTTGTGTATGTCTTGTTTGCATACCTGTACATTGAACAGCGGTTCCACTCCAACGCATTACATCTCCAGCCTGGACAGTACATGTTCTACTGGTAGTTCCGACAGACATTTCGAACCCCTCTAAACATTCAAACGTGCATGTCGATCCATAAGTGTTATAACAGTTCCCTTTTATAAATCCGTTGGCTGGCCATGTCAGCGTCTCACAATGACGGACTGTTCAAATAAAGAGACACAATGGTATAAGGTACTTTATCTTGCCTCTTTGCATTATACATTGGATTGCACAGCCGCGCTATCAAACTGAAAAAGGATGTGTAAGCGGGCATAATTATGATAATAACAATAACAATAATAACAATAATATTAATAACAATCAAATTATATTGAGCAGATATCAATATAACATTTTTCAGCTGCGCATTACAATGTTTAAGAAAATGTAACTACTTATAAACCCTCAATCTTACTTAAAAATCCTAAAAACATCTCTAATACAAGTTCTTTTTAGAATTGACAACAATGGGCATCTCAATCTAATGTTAACGGCACGTAGCTTTGACAGATAACTTTTTTCCTTGCGAGACTGGCAATGTAGTAAATGTAGGATATTAGACGGCGGCACACGTTTTCCCGCTCTTCGCGTCCGCTAGAAGTTATTACCTCGAGTTTTCATTGGTTCACTGGATTTCCTTTGTCTCTTTGATTGGCCAGAGTGATTACTTTGGATTTGGTTTTGCGCCACGTAATTAAAGAACGCTCTATAACGTGTTTCATTATCTTTCAATATACAAAAAGACTAAAACGCCTAAAATGGTAAAAGCAAGGAATTATCCATCACGTCAGCACCTGGGGAAAAAGGTGAAGTCTGCATACGAGTCAAGTGGCCCATCAGGACGGAGTTAATCCCGATTTCTGTAGCATGAAACGACTGGGAGTATATCTACTCCCCCCTGGATGAGATGCTAGTCCATCACAGGGTTACCCCCAGCATTAATTAAGTTCGCCGGTACCCATTTATACACCCGGGTGGTGAAGAGAGGCACTGTGAGAGTAAGAGGCACTGTCAGAACATTGCCCCCGACGCATTGTCCCCGGTCAGGGCTCGAACCCAGACCGCTTGATTCGGAGACGAGCGCACTAACCATGAGGCCACTACGTCTCCCTGGTCAGAACCTGGAAGCTACCAAAAACCTTATGAATCCGGAAATTTGAATGGACCAATCAGGATTCAGCAGTTGGGAAAAACTGTACTGTCCTGACGTAAAATGCATGTTTAAAGGAAAGACAGTCCAGTCGGGCAACTTTTCTCACCGGTGACAGCATTGAATATTCACGAAAAAGGATTAATAACTCAAATAACCGTATCAGATTAAAGCTTTTAATTTGGATCCGAAACTGGGTCGCCCGCATTCGGTAGGGCAGCTCGGTTTTGATTGGCACACGTCCTGCGGGCGCAGCGCCCGTATGTAAGGAAAACTGACATGGAACAAACACCTTAGTTAAGAAGGGAAGGAGCGGAGATGGAAGCTGATGGGCTACATATTACAGCAGAGTGAGGACCCGGGCACCAAAAGGAGGAAGATGAGTATGATCTGTAAAGACCACCTGAAGGAATAGGGACCAAGTAGTTGGAAATTTTGGATTAAAGTGCCAAGAGTTGCAGCAGTCAGGGGAGGGAATGGAGACACTATGTAAAGGACTTGTATGCATCACCATGGACACGAAGGAAGATAAGTGACAGGTATCATAATAAAGGCCACGGCTAAATTCGTTTACATTTATAAGACACAACTGGGAGGAAAAGTTCAAGTAAAACTTGAATTCTGAGATTACATGCTTTACTTGGTTAGCTCATGGCACAGTATCCTAGCATGTGATTGTATTTGCATTTACCTTGCCTTGAACTCAGAAGCAATCACTTGAAAGCTATTATAATTACTAACTTGTACAAGCTGCTCCGGTTTGTGGTGTGCCAGCATATCCTGTAAAACATTTGCAGTCTACGATACTTCTGCTGCCTTTACGCTGGTGACCAGAGTTAGCAGGGCAAGCTGTGCATGTGGCCGCATATCCACGGAAATCCTTGTAGGTTGAAAATGGGCACTCTGCCAAACGAACCAAAAACAAAATCAAATTACAAATTAAACCACCCGCCTATAGCGTAGGCAAATCGAGGCGGGTAAAGGTAGCTGCGTTGCGTCAAGTGGCCCATCAGGCTGGAGCTTATCCCATTTTATGTAATTTCTGACGAATAAAGGACGAATTAGTCGGAAATTATCATTCTGACGGCACGTTGGAGAGACTCGCGATGCATTACGGGATGCTTAGGGGCTGTTTAAGATTTTGGCGTACGATTTAAGTCATTCTAAGTCGGTCAGTCGTAGTGTTCGCCCACTTTAGTTTTTAAGATTATGTTTCGATTTGATCAACTTGTGGAAATAGAATACCCTTTCCTCGGGGTTTTGTGCTGCTACATTATATGAGGAATAAGTTTCCACATATTTTTTTGGCCATCGCAGGGTTACCCCCAGCATTAAGTTCGCCGGTACCCATTTATACGCCTGGGTGGAGAGAGGCACTGTGAGAGTAAAGTGTCTTGCACAAGAACACAACACAATGTCCCCAGCCAGGGCTCGAACCCGGACCGCTCAATCGGGAGACGAGCGCACTAAACATGAAGCCACCGCGCCTCCCAAATCGACCCGTGCACTATAATGAATAATAATACATTAAGTTAAAAGGCAAGAAAGAATAAAATTAAACAAACACGTACGCAAGTACAATAAGTCGACCTGGTGATAAGTGGGGCTAATGATGAAAAGAATTGGGAAAAGGGGAAGTTACAATAAATACAGTCATAAGATACAATAATTATGGGTTTTCAATTTAATCCTAAACACTGTGAGGAGCAATTTATGACTTTAAACTTTACTTCTCGAGCCTTCACAGTCATAGCAATTTGTAAGCTCATGGTTAGTGGCAGATTCAAGCAGAGGCTAAGGCTGTACACTCATAATAATTTTTAACAGCATTGGTAGGCGCGGAAATGAGTAATTAGTTTCTTGCTCACAGTTGAACCTCGCTATTTCGAACTCACAGGTGAAACGAAAAATTGTTCGAAATAGCGGGAGTTCGAAATAGCTGATAGTAAATGACTGAAGGAAAATTCCAAGGGAAATGGTTTTGAGTTCGAAATAAAGGAAAATTAAAAATAACTGAGTTCAAATTAGCCGGGTCCAACTGTCTATTCAATGACTGAGAAAAATACTTCATTGTGATTGGTTGAGAGCTAGCCAATGTAATCGTTAATTTCAATTTGCATTGCAGTAAAAATTAACTTGCGCTCTTTCGTTATTTGTTTCAGTCCTATAAAAAAAATTGAAAAATTACGTGAAACCTGGAGCAATTAAGGATTCACACGATGAGTAACATTTGAAAATCCTTTCAAATTGCACTCGCCAAAGGCTCGAGCATATTAAGATTACCAGTACAAAACAGAATTGATGATTAATCATTACTTAAATCGATCATTCGAATAGAAATCCACTATATGGATAATGACTCTGATAGTAGAAAGTGAAATATTCCGTTTAAACCAGCCGGGACAAACAAGAACACATTCAGCTAAAGGTATGCATCTTTAATCACCATCTATACCGTTGGAATAACTCTAAGATAACGGCTCCCACGCGACCATGATGGCAAGCGAAGTAGCGCGCGGAGAAACGCAGCAAAATAGACCAGATATTGACCAAGACAAAGAAATAGAGAATGATATTAAGGAAAAACAATATTTATTTGGAACTGTGGCATAAATAGTTTGGCTCGATTGTTTATAACTTCATCCCGCAAGCAATACGTCTGGGCTGCCTGAGTTGTTATATGCCCAAGAAAATTACCGATAATCATCATGATTGGCTGAGAGCAGGTCGATTCATCGCTAATTTTTATTTTGCACTGTGGTGTTAATTAACACGCGCGAGTTCGTAATTTTCTCAGTCATATAATAAATGAATAATTGTTTCAATTGGAATATATGTACACTATTTGTGAAATTTGAAAAATCCTTCCAGGGTTACACTCGCAGTAAAGGCTCGTGCAATAGTAAGAGAATTTTCAAATATCGATCACTCGTTAAATCATTCGCATTCATGCGATTACCTATACTTTCAGCATAGCTACAATTATAACGATAAACAGTACAGTAATTACCTACCGATACATTGACCTACGTATCCAGAGCCTGCATATCCCATTGAACATCCGCATCTATAGTCACCGTACACTAAGCCACAGGAACAACTGGCATTTGGATCGCAGTTATTGTTACATTTCGACGCAGGTACATTTTCTGTTTGCCAAAGTTGTTCGTAAGGATCTGAAGGGAAATGGCAAAGTTAACAGCTATAAAGATCTACAACTATTTCACAAACACTTTCAGTGCATTACCTACAGATGCACCCAGGCCGGCTAAATAATATCCCGAGCAAAGGAGAAGATTCTCAGATGAAGGTTTAACTTGAGCTTAATTCTAAGCCTTCAGTTAAATAAACTCCATCTAGATCCCGGGGGGGGGGTACTCCGGGCAAATGGGCCTTTCTGAACCTTTAACATTTTAAGTAACAAGCAAGAGGAGGCCAAAATTAACTATTCTTATTTCTCAGCCTAAAGAAAAACGAACTACTTAATGATAGGGAGCTTAAGCGACGACGACGGCGACGCCGAGGACAACGTCTAGTCAAAAATAAATTTATATTTTGCTAGCGAAATTCGCGATTGTCTAGATCTGTTCAGAGCGCCAGTGGCTCTAAAAACGCGCTCAGGCTAGATATGCAATGACAGAGTTCGATTCCAAATGGAAATACGAAAAATTAGCGGTCGTTGTTCGCGTTCATCAGACTACGCAGAACTTGGTCTTTTCACGTTCTTGTTTTACAGAGGACGGCAAAGAAATGTACAAAGATTTATAACGCACGTGCACAGCTATTGTTTTGCTCATTAAACCTTTTGTTTAGTGACGTTCTCGTTGCCGTCGTCGTGGTGGTTTGCTTAAACTCCCTAGTATTTCAAAATTAACCTTTCATTTCATCTTGCTTGGAAATTTTCGATAATGATTGAGGACTCGATCAGCCACTTCTTTTTTTTAAATTTAGGTTATCATCGATTAAATATATTACTTCAAAGATAATCCTTCTAAAATTCAATTAAAAAAAAAAACAAGAAAAGTACTGCCATGACTTAAAAAATCGATCAGATCAAAAATAGTGTGCGCTAATTCTACGGACACCATTATCTGACATCACCTACTGCTGATGCAGCCATCGTTTGAATCCCAACCATTATTGTTTTCAAAAATTTATCTCGGTGCAAAGATACCACCTTTATTTTCTTTATTACAAGTCTTTTAAGAAAAATGTTATACGGCCAACTCACCTCCTCTGATATAAGTTGCAAGTTCAGCGAATTCGTTGAAGTCTCTCAAATGAAATGCGTGCTTGTCGGGGTCGTCAACGAGTTGTCGAAGTCTGGGGAAGTCGACATACCCTACGCCTATGGCAAATACCTCCACATGACCCGCTAGCAGTTTCTGCGCTCGAGAGATGGGGCTGGAATCATGGTAAGGGTAATTCCAGTAGCCATCTGTGAGAAGGATAACGACAGTTTTAATCTTAGTATTTGGCTGTCTCTTCAAAGCGTTATTGAGGCAGACCTCCCAGGCTAATTGAAAGGCGTCTCTCATGTTTGTCATCCAGCCATTGATGCTGTGGGACATCGACTTAAACCTTTCGTTGAACGTACACTTGTTCTTTGTTACATCGGGAGCCGAAATTTGAGTAATGAATTTCGTTGCTGTACTTCCGAACGGTATCACCTCAACGCGGGTTGCTTGCAGGCCTACGCTCATCTCGTTCAGTAAGTTCATGACGAATTTCTTTTCTTCGTTGAAGTCGCTTGTCCATAAACTGCCCGAGGTGTCCACTAAGAACACCAGATCAGCTTGCTGTTGGTAGAAGCCATGACTACCGCTAACCTGATCTCTGAGAATCTTCAACTGCTCTTTTGAGACTTTCAGCCAGTCTTGCGTAGTGACAAACTGAAAATTCATCAGAAGAAAAACGGCAACGGGGAGAAAAACTTTCATTTTCCCCATAGCTGAAACGATGCTCGCCCAAGGCTTGTGAACACGCAAAACATTAAGCGTTTTCATCAACTCTGAGAGTTCGTCATCAAAACTCAGCTGTGTACACTAATTACAGCGGAATTTTGTCATAGTAACGATTTCGGCCAGCTGATTACATATGATCTGATCAACCGACGCAAAAGCAGCTGTGAAATTCCCAGAAAGGTTTCAATTCGTGACAAAGAGTTTGCATAATGACTAGAAAATACATTTGACTTTGTCCATGAATTTTTCGGCAATCACGTTAATGAGTGATTAGAGTTTATGCGCTGAACCTTCGGCAGGAAGATTGGTTACATCAAAAAGACAGTGTTTGAAAGCGTCTCTCAAAACGTTACTATACAGTTCCTGTAGGCTTGAGACAGCCTAAATTCCCATGTTAACCTGTAACGGCAGCAAACGGAAAGAAATCGCACCTGAGTGATGAATTAATAATCATGAAATAAAGACGATATTGATCAATGCCAACATATGGAGCTGTGGTTTGGTCTCCTAAAAGCTATTTTTGAACTTTCACAGACGACCTTTTTCTTGGGGAAGACTTCTGCCATAGGGACGCCTATGAAGACGTCCGTAATTCATTTATTCCATTTTACATTGATCAGTATTTCATGTTTGCATTCTCCAACAACAAATAATCAATAGAGAAAAGCATGTGATAAAATAACTTCTTAATCCACGCCTTTGATATCAGGATGCAATTTAGTTAATTTTCTGTTTTCCTTGTAGTCAAATATCTGAAGGGAGTACAGAAATTCAATTTGTTTTAGTGATATTCATGCAGATTCTTATTGCTATAGATTAGTGTGGGACTTTCTCGAGAACGTGCAGAGCTGCATGTGGTTTGAATGATTTTTCAGCTGCGTTTTAAAAAATTTTGGGTAGGCATTGTATTCCTTCAAGTCTTCAGCTAAAAACCTTGGGATAAAAAACTAAAATTACAAAATTGCGTTGCCCATAAACTGAAATTGTGGTAATGTGAAGGCAAGATGGACGAGCACAATTCAACTTGCTAAGAAAGAATGCCTTTACATAAAACTCTACAAAAGCCTCTTATGATCTTACAAGGTTTATGTACCCTTGCACCAAATTTCTTTACAAAGCTTTACGCTAATCCGTATGAGTAAACCGACGCGGTCTTCGAGCTTACCCACCGGCCAACTTTGCGGAAAAGAGAGGGTACATGAAATCAAAGAAGTCAATAAATTCAAAGCAAAATTTTCGCTCGGTCAAGACGGAAAGTTGCCTAATGAGTCATTTTCAGATGTAAACAGTTTACAGGTGAACATACAAGGAAAAACTACTCCTTAGCTGCAAGGTTAAGTATTTTAAAAGTATAATAACTCGCATCCATTTTATTAATTAACTGGGTCGGAGGGCGGCTGAGAAAACAACTCAAATCTCAAACCGCAGGGAATTGCTTGAATATTTAAGAAAACAGACAATCTTTTAAAAAATTAAAAGTGATTTAGAGGAATGGAAGTAAAACAGGAATAAAAATTATTGATCAGTAACGGGTTCACACACATGGAACACAAACCGTAACAACATAATTGGAGAGAAAACGATGCATATGACCTCGTTGTAACTGATTTCGGCATTTTATTGATAAAGAGATTAGTAGCTGTAAGGCCAACTGGAAAATCTTCCCGCGAAGGCAATGTTACATTGGACAATTTATTTCTCTTGCAAATTAAAATACAAATCTATCAGTGTAACCGTCCTTGGGTCGTCGTCTCCTCTCGTCGTCTCGCTTAGGGGAAATTGAGGACTTTGGTCTCACTTAAAGGTGTTTAGTGTGAACGCGCATACTTTTAAACGCGCATACTTTTAGCCGTCAAGGTATCTTTTAGGGTTGCACTCGAAGACACAATAAAAATAACGCTGACATATCTTTTTAATGTAATGTCTTTTGGGGGTCAAGTAAAGCTCAAACCACGCTCAGTTTGGTCTCCTATAAAGAGTCCCCGGGAAATTAACATGTCTCGGAACGTTTTTCTTCCGGAAAGCGTTTTTACGGAGTAGAAATACGTTTTGCGTTTCATAACGATTACCGAAACAAAGTAAAAAGCGTTGCGAGGCATCGTCTGGTGCAATTTGTCCTGCAGCAGCGCAACAAAATTGCGATCGACTTAAGCTGTTAAGGAGGCAATGCTTGCGACTAGAGAGAAACACAGAGTAACTCGAATAAACACCAAGGCAAAAACAGATTGCATTTTTTTTCTTTAATTTCTTGGCTACAATGGAATCAGCAGTCCGACCACACTCATTTTAAAACTACTAGCATCGTAAATAGATACACTCGAATAAGGTTGATTGCTAAATTCGACACTGCATATATTTAGTTTACAATTAGAGTTCTGACAAACCACTTAATTGTCTCAATTTTCATGAAATTAAGTGATCCTGTGAATTACACTTGATTTCAGAATTATGCAAAAGTTTCTTGATGTGCGAAATGCTTTCTTAATGAGACTGAAACTGCAGTTAAATCCTAGTAAGGTTAACGTATACCTTTAGAGTTGTCTGACGTTCAAGCGATGTTGCGCGTCCAGTTTAAACTGTTGACATGACCTCTAAATGCGAGTTTCCGAATCGCCTTTTGAAGTCGAAGAGTTCTTTTTTTTTTTTTTGCTAATTAATTATAAATTTGTTTCTAAGTTTGTAGACCTAAAGCGCAAAAGAAACGTGTCTGCATTTTGTCAGATACAATATCAGTGAAAACTTACAGAAAATTTTCGAAATAGGATCAAAAACATATGGTGTGATCGTACAAAAATCGCTTTGGAAGAAAAAATATTTCGAAACAAAAAACTGATTCGCAGATAAGTTTTTGTTGTTTATATGTCAAACCAGCTGCTGTCCAAATTTGAAGGCAAACGAGCAAATTCTTTTTTAGCTTCAAAAGGTGATTAGGACGCTTACATATAGAGGTCGTGATAAATTTGGCAATTCATTTTATTTCAAAATTTCTGTTACTGTTTGATAGCGAGCTCTATAAGCTTTAATTTGATATAGATGTCTAAGTATCTATAGTCCGAACGCGCTAAATCGCAAAGACGCGAGACACCTCTAAAGGTATATGGTAACCTTAATATGACTACTGTCAAGAACATACAACTTTTCCCTCTTGTTGAGGTGTCCGTGTTGTTTTTACAGAACTACACCTGGTTCACGAACAGGAAAGCGGAAAAGGTGCTTTTGCTGAAGTCATAGCTTGCACATGCGCCGTTTTGAAACTATCCCCTACAATGAAAGAAGGGATACTTCTAAAGCCGAGAATGAGAAATGAGAAATAGGAATAAGGAATGAGAAATAGGAAATGGAGAGTCGGAATGGAGAATGAGTATGTGGAATGGAGATCGATCAATTCGCAATTATGGAATGGAAATTGGGAAATGGGGATTGGGGAATGGGAATTGAAAATTGTTGAGTCAATTGTTATTAGCACGGAAGAAAACTTTTTCAGCCGCGATTATCCAACGTTTTTTGAAACTTTACGGGGTAAAATAAAGTTATAAGATATAAATATTCACATGCTAATTGCAGACAATATGAAAGAAAGTTGATTTGCCGATGAAAAGAAAAAATAAGAGAGAGGTGGAATTATCTGACACTAAGCAGGCAACGATGATAATTTTACAGCTATTGTCAATCTTAATCTCAAAGGTCGCGATCCTTTTCGTCGTTCTGTTACTGCCTACCGAAAATGCACGGGCTCTAGATCTAGGGAAGAGATTCACATAATGCGAGTATCACCAGAGGTAGTGAAGGAGATCCCGTGGAAGTTGACTGACATCCTCTATGACATTCTCCTTGTTACTTGCTTATCTTCAGGTAGTTAGATATGATTTCCAGTCCGTAGTGCGCACTCTCGAGAGTTTGTTTTCGTTTTTTGTTTTGTGTCATTCAAGACATTACAAAATGTGAACATTACGCAACCACTTACATGAAGTAAATTCAAAGTTTCAAAACAACCGCCATTGTGGATGGGAAGTGATCGAAGCTTTATGCTTCGTTCTTTCTCATATCACTTGATGAAACAACTTCGCAGCAGTAAAAATCAATGAAGCTGTTGGAAAAAGAATTTGAAAGGCCTCAAAGATAAGGTATGTGGTTCGTTACGAATAGCATCAATTCGCATTCCGTCGAGTGCGAACTTATAATGTTTATAAACATTTGGGTCCCGAGACTGCACAACACGGACTGAAAATCACCTTTAAATAATTAGACAAAGCAAGGCCTCTTCCCCAGGTTGGTTCCTTTTATTTTGGTTTGAATGATTAAAAAAATAAATAAGTACCACCGAAAAGAGTTATTCCGCATTAACTTCCCACTTTTAATTTCTCATTTTAATTCCGCAATCCCCATTTTCCATTTCTCCGTTCTTCATCCCTATCTCCGGTTCTCGTTCACCATTGCCCATTGCTCTTTCCCCATTGCCCATTCCTCGTTCTTCATTTCCCATTCCTTATTCCTCATTCTCCATTCTTCATTTCCTATTTCCCATTCCCTATTTTCCACTCGCTATTCGCTATTGTATTTTGCAATATCTTGGCTGCATATAGAATTTTGTAGAACACTGTACTTTCGGTGCCAAAGTCGGCGCATTGAAGTCTCATATTGACGCCACCGGTTCTTGAATAACGGTAACTGACGCATAATTAGCATGGATTTTAGCTGGGTCCCGCTGACTGCAAATCTCGGAAACCAAAATTCGATCTTGTTTCATAGCCTTACGGGTAAAGGATATATATTGGCGAAATAATTGCGTTGTTGACTTTTAAGGTAGCTTACTACAGTTTTTCTGAGACTCAGTAGCGCGCGCTAGCATTGCCTGCCAGACTTCAAACTCTATAAATAACAGGTATTATAACATAACTAAAGCAAAGCGCACGCTCTGATTGGTTAATTTAGCGTCTACTATTTGCCCATGGGTGTACGCTGCTGCTTGGGAGGTTTGCTAAGCACTCAAGAAGCTAGAGTCGCACTCGGCTGTCGCCTCGTGCGACTCTTACGCTTCTTTCGTGCTTAGCAACCTCCCTCGTGCACCATAACTCAATAGTACACGCTATGGCGTTTACCATTTGTTAAAAAGAGCTCTAATTTACTCTTGCTTTATCGCGCACGATACGTGACGTCACATGAGCGTGCGCTTAAATAAAGGGCATGCGCAATTCAATTCTCGTCTAAAGTTGTAAAAGCTAGTCTTTTATCGAGGATTGCTCGAAAACCTACCGTACAACCCATGATGAAATTTTCCCATTTGATTTGTAGGGATGAATCGCGTTTCGGGCCAAAATGTAAAAAAAAAAATCTCTAAGACAGATTTTGAGCTATTTTGGATCTCACAGTTTCTTGGTTTGCAGAAAATCTGTCTTAAAGATTTTTATTTCACTTTGCATAAGTGTTAAATCAGAGCCAATTTCTTATTCCTGAAATTTTGAGATGGGTTCATGCGGGTAGATTTTGAGAAAAACGTGATTTAACGTATTAATGCTCAGTCTCTCCTTAGGTACTCAGTCGTTCACTTTGGCTATTTGTTGACGTTGAATTGTTCAAGCTTCGCATAGAATGGTAAAAGACTTCAGCAGACAGTAAATAGAGAAAGGAAAAACAACTCGGAACATTTTTCAAAAGAGTTACAAGTTCGGCTGTTATAATCCATCAAAACTGTAGTAAGCCACCTTAAAACCGACCAGATGAATTTTGCTGCGGTTACTCTAAATCACTATTAGGCCGAGTTGCTGAAAGGCCGCATCATTTATACCCGACCATCCTCTGGCTTCACATATGAAATTAAAAAAAGTTGGCTAAAAGAAGCAATGTGAAAAGGAAAGGAAATGTGTAAGAAGCGAAATCGGCATAAATTGGAATACAGGTACAATTTTTTTCTTGGATACCGCGTTGTTTTTTTCTGTCTTCTATGCACCGGAAGCACAGCGCAAATAATATATAATTCCTAGGTGTAATGTATTAAAGCAACTTAAAAGGTCCTGTTATGTATCTGGTGTTCTTTATTTACTTCGTCATTTCTAGATGAGATGAACTGGTAACAAGTCAGATGCTCAAATGATCGTGAAATGCACCAAGCTAATTTATCTCTACGAGCTTCAACTACCACAAGAGGCTTTTCTTGGAGTCATGGCACTCAACTCAACAGCGCCACTGCCAACGACAGGAAACCGCTCCCTTGCGCCAGCAAGCGCGGGGTTGTAGCGCGATCAACAGCGAACTTTAATATTGCAACTCTAATGAGGGTGGACAGAAGCCACCGAAAATTCAGAAAAGAATATCAGCAGATCGGATTGCAAAAACTTCTTGAAGATCTTCACCTTGATTGGTTTCATTTTCATTTTCTTTGGAAACTCAAAAAGTCTTTTATTTCAAATTGTTACAGCTTTAAATACACTTGCGACTGTTTCTTGACAATGTCAATAACCTGGCTGTCCAAGAAAGTAAATTAATAATGGGAGGGGACAAGGGAGAGGGAACCCGGCCTAGAGTAATAGAGAGGGCGGGAACTCTCCGAGGTCTCGCAAGGCAAGAGAAGAGAAGTGTGGATGTGAGATTCCCGAAGTAGCGGACAGTTCAGGACAGGTTGTGAAAATAAAGTAACTGATAATGGTATAGCAGCAAAACATGGAGCAACCAGCACGAAGGCCAATTGTCTCCTGAATTCACATAGATTTGTGTTGTTATCTGAGGTCATCACCATGTGTTTTTAGTAGACAATGGCGTTTGTGCTGACTGCTCTATTAATTTTTTGTTGCTACACTGTGCTGACGAAGACCCAACCAGGTCGAAACAGCTGTAAGCGGTTGCAATTCTTGGCTTTCAGTTTGGACTCTATCATGTCGTTGTCGCAATAAGCTTTCTACGTAATAATCAGCCTGACATTATTGTTGTTTTAGGAAGAAAACGACATTCGAGATAGAACGCATGAAGATTCATACTAAAAGAGATTGGTGTTCCGGAGAGTTTTGGTTGAGCCCTTCATCATGACATCAGTGAAGAAATCGTAGAACCTGGGTCACGTCGAATTTGTAATCAGTTGATTTAACACCCACAAGAGCGGGTAAATATCCTGGAAGTGAAGACAAGGGATTCAAAAACGAAAGAGCTTAAGTTTTTTTCGTTCTATTCCCTTCTAAGTCGTACGCAACGAGTTGCTTAGCAACCTCGCCCCACGTGAAACTCCAATAGTGTGACGTCAACATGTTTTGAAATTCTTACAGCTGAATAAATCCATTTCCAAACTAGGGATGAACAACAGGTGTGGATTTCACATAACGAAGTTTTCGCTTGGGTCTGTCTTTTAATAAAGGTCTAGTCATGATATTTTACACAAGCCAAATTTAAAGCTTTTAGGTCAGTCAAATGTATTTTACTTGTTCTCCATATTTTTCATTTTGATTTGGAGTTCTCCATTTGCGATCCATGTCGCACTAAAGTAATCAATACCTAAAATACCTTTGCAAATTCAGTACACTATACTATAGCAGCCAATATGAAACAGATAGGTTATGCAAATAAACAAAATCATCAAATTCTCCAAGCTGACATGGAAAGTGAAAAAAAGTGGAAATAAGTGTGCAGAATTGATATTTTGAGATTAAAAGGTTTTTTGAGAAAATAAATTGACTGAGTTACCCTAATATTTTTACGTGGCATTATGTACAATATAGATTTGTTGACTGAGCTAGGACTTTTCACTTGTGACAGCCATCCCTTTTGCACTCTGCAAACTGTTCCCAAGCTATGCGCGACTTAGAGGCTAGTTAATACGAAATATATTTTATAATTTTTTCAGAAAGCAATCATCGGCCTTATTCAGTTTTTCCACTGAAAGAAATAATTTAGTTTTTTACTGATTTACATAGACATGATAATTAGGGAACGTCGCTATCTCGAAACAAGCTGATTAAACAATATTGAATCTTATCGAAGCCGCACGCTGCCGAAACCGCACTTCAATTACTTCGAAAATTGCACAGATTAGTACAAAAAGACATTATCGTGCCTGTGACGGCATTTTAAGGCAACACAAGATGAAAATAACTATTGCCACAGCCTTTTTTCTCTGTGCCTTTGTAGTGTTTGTGAAGGCAAATAACTTGGCAAGCCTTGGGGAGGAAACAGGAGATCTTGAAGATGAGCTCAATGAGCTGGAGACGATGGAAATCCAAGATGCACTCATGGGACCGCCTAAACCACCGGTCAATTTAGATGTGAGTTACTTAGACTCAGTACTTTCTAGTTATTGTACATAATTTTAAATTGTGTTCCCACGTTTGAGAAAAAGTTCATTACAACCGTTTATGACACCCCGTGTTGAGTTCGTATTGTACCTCGAATGAAAGTCAAACACGAGTCAACCACGAATCACCAGCCAATTTCTAGTTAAGTTAATTCGACCCCACCTCATTGTTTCTCTTATTCCAGACTAAATTGCAATTTTAATTAATTTGGTTTTCAATCTGTGATTCTTAACTTTATAAAGTTAGAGATAAGCAGAGCAGTTTCGTCCGTTCGGCTTTCAACCATATGCAATAACTGATGAGAAGCGATTGTTTGTTTTAAGCCAACTGTTATGCACGTTAGTTGTTAAGGTTTTCTACAACTTGGTCCACTTGATAATTTTTTACAATTACGCCGCTCAGTATAGATGACCCTGACACACACTACACAACCCGCGAACCCTATTCATCAGAAAAGGGACTGTACTTTCTAAAACAGAAAAACATTTTTTATTACAAAATTGAAACAGTTCAACAAAATAGACTTTGATCGGCTTCAGCATCAGTAATACATAAATTATTTTACTTGAAACAGGATGAATTTACGAAAAAAAAATTAAATATTCTCCACAATGAAACTGCAGCGTATGAAATATCACAAAGGAAAAGAAATTTTTTGAATCACCACAGTGACGCACTATAGATGACGCATAAACTGGAGTAGGGGTCACTGTTCTCTTTTAAAAGAAAACGACCTTTTGTTAATTCCCAGTCGTGCTTGGCTTGAAGGAAATCTAAGAACGTTATGTATGTACACGCGCTTGTGTGCCTGCTTGTTTCAGGGGAAAGGAAGTCAGCATTAGTGCGCAAAATAGAAAAGATCACAACGGAGTCAAAACCTGAGTCGACTCCATGTCGACTGTTTAATGCAATTAAATCCCTAACTTCAAGCTTGATGAGTAAAATGTCCAGTTTCCAACCTTTCCCGTGCCTTTTCCATCCCGTCAAATCCAAGCTAACGGCGACTCTAAATAAATGGACGGCATTTTCCTAAACCCAGGAAAAACAAATAGTGGAGTTAATCTAATGATCTTCTCTCCCTCAGTATGCTTTTGAGGCATTTCTAAAGTGTTTCATGGAAAAAAATAAGGGAAGGATGGACAAGAAATGCATTCAGGAGTTTAAAAAGCTTCTCCCTGCAGATATGCCGCGTCCTAGGAAAGGGGGACTGGTAAGTGCTAGAGAAAGTCAAGTTTTTATTTGGCCGGAATCTTCCTTGCCGGGGTTCCACTGTATGGGTAATGGTGAAATTAATGCTGGGGGGAACCCTGCGACGGACTAGCATCCTATCCGGGATGGGGCAGTAAAAATACTCCTAGTTGCTTCATTTTACATAGAAACTGGAGATGAGCGCCAGCCTTAGCTTACAGGCCATCTGGCTCGAATGCAGACTGTAACTTTTTTTTACCGTCATTCTTAAGTCACCACAAAAAAAAATGCCCAAAAGAAATGTCAAATGTTCATGGTTCGAGACAGTCTTTACTACAAAACTAAAACAAGAGTACGAACAGAAATCTTTGAACAGTTAAAGGTTGCAAGGCTGAAAGCAATGGTTACGCGAAGCCTGGATTGCCATTATAGTGCTTTGATCAACTGGCGAGTTTTTGGCAGGGGAGCTTGACATAAACCGAGCATTAAATTTTCAAAAAGAAAGGTGTTCATTACGCGCGCTTCTAATTTCTCTGACGTATTCTTTTCTTTCAGATCAGATGTGCTGTTCGCAGCTTCAAAAATTGCAACAAAAAACCAAAACATCACGAAGCTCTTGACTGCATGAGGCACTTTAATGACTGTGTGGAAAACGGTGAAGAAGGATCTGGTTACTAGCTAGTTCTAGTTCTATATCCAACGGTTTATCATCGAGGGTTAGCATTGTTGGAAAATATCACATGGAATAGATGGATTCGTTTGGCCTGAGTTTAATAAACCTGTCTCCAGACACTGCCCTCTGCATTTTACGTTGTATTTTATTGAGTTAGGAACGGCCTCACACGTATTTACATCTTCTAAATCTACGCATGCATGCATACTAACATTATCCGTGGGAGAAATGGACACCACATTTAAAAATAAATTGAGAAGGGCCGGGACTGGATTAACTCTGTTACCCGTCATCATCTTTTGTTTAGGAACATCGCATTGATCATAATTTTCGTGATCTTGCACATAAATGTATCATGCTACAATCTCATATGGAGGGATTCTACTGAGTAAAGAGGCCCTATTAGGGGTTTCGGGGATACGGGATTTTGGGGTACAAATTTAATGGGGTACGGAATATTTTGGGGGAATTAATGGGAAATAGGATATTTAGAACAGATATCCAGGGATATCGAGTGGGAACATTTATACTTTTTACTAACCTCGTTCCCAGGGCTTTTTTCTTAGAGATTGGGAGGGACCCCTCAAGGGAAACGTCCTGGGAACGAAGTTGACTTTTTGCAATTGGAATTAACGGGATACGGGACATTAAGGTCATAAATTAATGGGTTCTAAGATACTCAGACTCCCCCCCCCCCCCCCCCCCCCCCCNCCCTCCCCCTCCCCCTCCCCCTTCACCACCACCACCACCACTTAATAGGGCCTCAGTGTAACATGGCTTTTTACGCTTGTGTCCTTTGCTTTGCAATTCGCTTAGTAGTGGCTAGTTTTCAAGTGTAGGTATTCCACCTTTTCCAAAGAGATAGAATAGTCTTCGCGAGCTAAGGGCGTAGTAGACATCCTCTTGACACATTTTCAAATTCTAATCTTATTTTCCAGAACCAGTCTATCTTGGACTTAAAAGAATGTTTACCAGCTCTAACTAAATCATGATATACAAATTTACTAAAGGGTTCTCTAAATTGAAAATTCTCTTGATTCAAGTTTCAAATCAACATAATTTTAGTTCTCTGAACAAAACTGTTTTGGATCAACGTTTTACGACAAAAAATTAAAACAAGCAAAGTGATGCAAATAATTTTGTGAGTGTCTTAAATTTTGTCAAAAATGGTTGGCTGCCTGTCAGTGAAAATCATTGTGCACTTCATGATCTCAACAGGTTATTTCTGGTGGTTCATTTTTGTGATTATTCAGGAAAAGATGCTGCTTGCTTGAAAATCACCATAACTTTGTGATGACCCTGGAAGCACTGTACAATTGTCTGTCAGTATTGTCAATCTGTATGGTCAATCAGACAAAAACAATTTAAACAAACAAACAAACACCCATCTTGTACCCAGTAAAATGCAGAATACTCTACTCTAGGCTACTAATTAACAATTAGATGATGAGCTCGAGATTTCTATGAGAGCGAATAATCTAATTCTTTTAGTAGAATTCTAACTAAAATTTACTTCAAATAATGGTTTCCAATTATTTCTTGACATATTAATAAACTTTGCATTTGAAAAAGATCGATCAGATTGAATTGTCATTTAAAATTGTAGTGAGCACGCGTGCATCAGTTTTTCTAATAATTTCAACTTTGTTAAAGTCAAGAAACTGTAAATGTCCTTTGTTGAAACTTCTCAGGAATTTAATTATCCATAAATTTTGCATCAAAATTTTCCTCCAAAACTTTGGAAAAACGACACAAAGGTCGCCTTTGCCTAGACGACCTCAGCCACTGCACACTAATGGCTGATAGTGTTCAATGGCTCAGCCAATCAGATTACAGCATTTGCATTAGTATACTAGTAGAATTCTCCTAATTATTAAGCAATGACGTATTGTGTGACGTCATCACTTTATGCTGGCATGCATGCATTCCTTTGGATAGTGATTTCGCATAGTTTCGTGGCGCTTACAGTATGTCTGTGCGCTTATGTCGCGCACGATTTATCCCCCTGTGGAAGCAAAATACACGCTGGGAGTTCCTTTGCAGCTTTCCTTTGCTGTTTGTAGGATCAGCAGAGTGCTTTTAATTTCAGCTTTTAAATGAAGATTTGGGGTGGATTTTGGTTTATACATGTACAGTGTTGGATAAATTTGCACTCACAGGCAAACTCATAATAACATATCTTCAATACATACAATTTTAGATAGACAAGTGGGTCGCACACGCGATATGACAAGTCAGGAGAAAATGATTTTCTCTTGGACAAGTATATGGTTAAAACAACAAATTAATTTCTGGTGAGGTAATTAGCTTTGCCAAATATCTTTAAAGATAATAAGGTGTTGATTTCAGAGAGAGGAACTATTCAGCGGAGTGCTTTTTATTTTAGTTATTTAATCTTTCTTTTGGGTTGGTACATTTCGCTAACCCCCTAGCACATGGACTAACAAGATGGACCTGGTACATGATTTACTTGAATGAACCACCAATGGACTACTCTAACTGTAAACCCCTAAAATTTCTAACACTAAAGTTTAAGAATCAGTTTGTCTGCTTATGTTCAATCTTCTAGGAACAATTTTTAAATGTCATTGCTTCTGCATGCATTGCATGCTGTTTATTTTTATATTGTCTTACCAACAAGATATATTGTCTTGACTTGTATTCCATGTTGTGCTTTTAGGAAGTTCGTAAATCAATGACTGGTTTTGTGGCATTCAAACTGATGCCTGAATGGCTTGCAACTTTTCTGTTCAAAACTGGAATAGCTGACTGGATGACCAAGTTTTTTAAGCATTCCAAACGATCAGTGTCTGAGGTGTTGGAAGAGCTCACAGACAATAAGGATTTACAAACTGTTCTGGCCTACAATTTTGGAGACTACGGTATGAGTACATAAAATGCTTTCATTATTAAAATTTAGAATGTTCTTTTGTTTTGAAAAATAAATAAATAAATAAATAAATACATGTAAAACACATGTCGAACTTTTGACTGCCTAAACTGCAGTCTTCAGTGGGTGAACTATAGAGCTCTGCAGTCCTTGTCTTCTTAAATGAAAATGCGATGTTATTTTGTTGCTCAGAGGGAACTCAATGATTGCCACTGAGTAATTGTTGCATTGATTTGGTTTAATATCACTGAAGTGGCAATACATGTATGGCTAAATATGGGTGTGACTCTGGGAATGTGATCCCCTGGAGATTCAAACCTTCTGTCATGCAATGTCCTGCAGTTTTAAGTAAAACAATTCTCAAACGTGAAGGTCACTATAAATTACACATACATTCAGTAAGTATTGTTAAATGGAATGCATCATTGGAGCACTAGTCCCAAGGATAGTGTGACTCCCCCACCCCCACTTACATCTTCCCCTTCAAGCTCTGTTGGCTTTGCTATGGAAATGCACAAAGACAGGGACACAGTTATTTTGAAGTCTGTGCTTTCTTTTTTTAATTGTTGTTGTGTCACCAAGGTGTTGTTCAACAACTGAACATGTACTGGCCCATAAGAATCCCTTATTGACACTTGAATTTATCAGAAACTCCACAGATGCATGCAAGATTCTGAACCCAAATTGTCAGCCACTGTCCTACATTTGGTAAAGATGGTGTACTTGCAAACATTGTTTTTAGGAGGAAAAATAGTGTACACAATGTTACACTGCACAGGCCAAATTAATTTTAACTGCAAAGAAGACCAATCAGAATTCCTCTTTCATTGTGGACCAGTTTCTACATACTCTCATCATACAATTTCATAAATCTGGGAAAGTTCTATATCTTTACTGTTTTCTTGTCCTCTGTAGGAACTATGCCTGGAGAAGGTAGCTTTGCCATGCATGCTATACTTGCTAACCACTACTTATTTGGAGCATCATATCCACGTGGTGGAGCCAGCGAGATTGCTTTCCATATCATCCCTGTTATTGAGAAAGCAGGCGGAAAGGTGCTAGTAAGAGCACCAGTCTCCAAGATTCTTGTTGATGAAAACTCTGGTAAAGTTAAAGGTAAGATGCAGTAGTAAAACGTCTTTTTATATTTATTTGTCACTTTCTAATAAGAAAAATCAAGAGAAGATGAAAGCACATAATGGCCTTATTCCCAGGGTAATCCCCCCAAAGATTTTTTTTTTCAGTTATACTTTTAATTAAAACATATTTTGCCATCACTCAGGCTAGTTTTGGAAATCCCAGGAGGGTCTTGAATTACCCAATCCTGTGATGTGAATTTTGCTGACCTCAAGAGGCAAAGCAACTTTATACACATTTTCATCATGCACGAAAACAAGCAATATCCAAGCAATGCTCATGGTAAGAACTGGGCACCATCTCTAAAAAAAACCTTGGGTATCAGGCCCATCAGGGGATCAGCTTTCTTATACTCTTCATCCTCTCTTTGTAATATGCTCTGTGAAGGGCTGGATATAGCTATCCAGTGGACAGCATAGTCCAGCCTTTCAACAACAGAGCCTCACTTATGTATCCTATAATATTTCCTTACTTCACCCTCCTGCCCGACCCATTACCCCCTAGGGATTTTGATGCAAGGTCAAGTCAAAGGCAAGTCATTCCCTCATCCCCTACCCCCCACCCCAATAGAAGGGAAAAAAAGAAAGAAAGAAAGA